CAGGCGAATGTGAATGTGGGCGCAGGGGCGGAGCCCGTTTCCAGTACCTATCCCAGTTCCTCTTTCTTAGCCCCGCGCTGACTCCGCCTTGAAGCCGCTATTCAGAGCGTTGTGTATCACATGATCAGGCATCCCAAGGCTTGGTCGACGGCCCGCGACGAGATCGATGCCGCCCGTGCCCAAGGGCGCTGCCAACATCGCGTTGTTTCGTCGCACGACGCCCAGAGCCTGCCTTATGTACAAGCTTGCGTGAAGGAGTCGCTGCGCTTGTTTAGCCCAACGACCATGGGATTGCCTCGTAAGGCCCCGAAGGGCGGCATCACCATCGCAGGCCGACACTTCGCAGAGAGCACCACTCTCAGTGTTTCTTCGCAGTAGGTTTGCGCGCTGTTGGTGAGCCGGTTCACCACGGAAGGCTGACACCCACAAGTGCAGTGCACTTATCGACGGACATCTGGGGAGCTGATGCTCACCAATGGCACCCGGAACGCTGGATGTCTGGCTATACAAAGGAGTTGGAGAAAAACTGGTTGGTGGTAAGTTATCGCACGATCTACGGACGCCGCGCCAAGAGCTAAGGCGACTAGTTTTCCGCTGGGTTTATGACGTGCCCGGGACGTCACCTTGCGCTGATGCAGGTCTCTAAAGTGGTAGCTTCTCTGATCCACTGCTACGATATCCGTCAGGTGGATCCGGACAGCGTGTGGAGCTACCAGGCTAACTTCACCGCGCTGACGCACTCGTGGCCAGTCTATGTGAAGAAGAGGATGGATTGAGGGCTTTGGGTACCAGTTCAGCATTGGAGATCTCTTTCTAAGCACCGAGTCAACAAGGAGCGTAGCAGTAACAGAGACCGCTCGGTGGCTTCCCCCTTAATCAAAGTGGATATGGACTACGTGCTTAGACAGTTGTACTGCTACGCAACAACAGCCAGCCCGCGGGCCCACAATCCTCAAATGCGGCAATGATGCCCCTACTGTCGCGCATGTTGTGGGGATATGGTATATCATCGATCACGCGGCGTGCGTGACGGAGAGAACGGGAACTATCTAGATGCGAGGTTGCTCAACTATTGGCTCCGGGCCACGGGGCTATCGGTCGAGACAGAACTCAAACTACGTACTGGAACGAAAATGGATGCTCCTCTCCGTTGTTCTTGTATCATGTTAAAAGAGGGAACCCAGCCCACAGTAAATGCACCCATCTGAGCGAGAGCCGCGAGGCCCAGAGCAGGACCGGAATATTGGACATGGCAGACAGATAGCGATGGCACACGACAACGGTTATCAGGGCCGCCGTGAGTCCACGGTGTTCTTGAACAGGATAGCAGCGTTTCCAAGGGGATGGCATCTATCAGGCAAGACATGGTTACGAGAAGACACGGGAGCAGCAGGCGGGACCTAGTCTCACAGTAAGGGTGCTTAGATGTAGTGAGCAACCGTGTCAAGCCACACCTACGGCATAGGAGTGACGGATGTGTGGCGATCAATATGACAGTGATAGTGGAGTGCAAGATGCTGGCTGGAGGAAGATGTTTGACAAGGGAAGCTGGAACAGAAGGTCATATGAATTATGCGCCTTTCATGTATCTAGAGATACTCGCTCGGACCTATGGAGTGGGCCTATCAACGCTCTGTTCTGCCTGGGTGGCACATCCGCACCTTAGTGCGACGAAATGTTCAAACTCATGTCCAGGCCCTTCCCAATTCGAATCGCTCGGGTTGCGGCAAAATTTAGAGCAATACCGCCTTGAATCTGCCAGAGACCCTTTATCAGTTTTGTAATCTCGTTCTGTGTCTCCGGAAAAGCTGTCTTGAACCTCTCTGGGAATTCTGCCATAGAGAGACCCCACTTCTCCTTGCACGGCCTACACAGTTGGATGCCTCCGAATTGCCGAATATCCTTGGTAGTGCCTGTTACTATGAACGTGCAGTTGACACACTCCCGACTGCCACTGCGCTGCAGAAGGTCGCAGAATCCATCGAACATTAGCTTGTCAGACTGCGCAACAAAGTCTGCGTACCGTCCGTCATATTTCAGCTGTGCGGCCGTCTCCTCGACCCTGTTCCAGAGTTTGAAGTTGGCACGGGTTAGCTCTACCACTTGCTCCGTCTCTGGCTTGCCGATCCGCAGTCCATCCTCGACGAAGCGGTACCTCCGCGTCATCATATGGAGAGGGCCTCCGAAGAAACGCAAGAAATTGACGACGCAGCGCTTGGCGGGATTGGTGGCCCATGGGACGTCGATAGCCCAAAGAACCATACGGTATAGCTGGAAGCTCTTGACGCGCGTGTGGGCGTCGAAATACCCGAAGGTGCTGTTGGTCTCGCCCTCCGCTCGATGCTTGTGGAAAGCGACGGCGTCGTACAGCGTACAACACAGCTCTCCGATAAGCCGCCACTGCTCCTCACTGAAAATGACGTCGACACACTCGTTGCACGATAGTGCACTGGCGATTGTGTACCGAACCAGGGCGTCGCAGTCGCGGAGCCGGAACCAGGTCTGGGGCGACTCGGTTAGCGCGCATAGATAGCGACGGAACAATTCCGAGTCGAGTCTTTTGCTAGATTTCTCGACGGAGAGGAGCAGGAAAGCTCGAAACTCGCGAGACATGGCGGCGCGCAGCTCGGTGTCGCTACCAAACAAACTGTCTAGAAGCCCTTCTAGATCGTAGCCGAGGACGATACTGCTGCCGTCTTGCGGCACCAAGTCGCCACGGAACTCTGCGACGACGGCGATCACAATGGTTTTTGTGAATGCCATGTATTTCGCATTGTCCTTCCACTCGGGTATGACACTTCTGGCATATTCGTAGGCGCAGGCAAGCGCCTCCTGGATAGTTTCCTCGGAGAGATCGGGTACTTCAAGGCCATCTCGTAGCTGTTCCGGATAGAACCATACGTCGGGGAAGGTCTCGATATCCGCCGGGTCCTCGGGCACATCAGAGCTATCGGCTTGACTCAAATCCATTGTGGCGCTTGGGAATCGGAAGAAGGCTGATGCAAACAACGAGTGTACATATCATCAGTGAGTCGGTGATCGGGTGTCCCAGCACTCTTTATAGCCAGCGGCCATTTTGTACGCAATCGGCCGACGAAGGCGCCAAGCCAGCGCCGATAAAATCTCTCAAATCTGCCCATCTCGTTGGCTTAGTTGAGGTCTAGCTGGTGACCGGAACATGCCGAATCCTCCGCCGTCCAGGTCGTCGGTGCGTGCATGCTTTGTTGTGGACCCCACTCCCATGGAGCTTGGGCACTTCCAATCATTCACTGATGCTTGAGGAAACCCGATGCGGACACCGCTCAGGGAAGTCTAATTGATAGGCAGAATGCAGCCGTTTCAGCTACAGCAGCCTGTAACCCACTCTGACTGCATAGAGTCCCCAGGCAAGTGCCCAAAGCCTGGCGGAGTCAGCACGCCCATTCAGATCTAGCCGTCTCTTGCTGTTCATTGTGGCTGCAACCGCGCTGAGACAGTGCCAGGGCTATCCTAGCCCAAGGTCAAAATCTTTCAGCGACCAGCGAAGCACAGCTTGATGTTCGGCAATTCGCCGTCCAAATAGAGAATTTTGCAAAACACACACTGTATGGAGTCCTTCTGAACCTTCGCGTTATTCTAATCGCTAGGAAGCTATGAATGCTCAAGACGGTAAGATACAGGACCGCTTTGTGGCGAGTTTGTCGTTTCCTTGACACTAGCCAACAGTTCAGTAGACTAGGTCCCGCCTGCTGCACCCGTGTCTTATCGTAACCATGTCTTCCCTGATAGATTTCATCCCTTGGAAACGCTATCCTGTTCAAGCCTCGCCTTGGGACTCACGGCGGCCTTGACAACCGTCGTCGTGCGCCATCGCTATCTGTCTGCCATGGGTGCATCTGTATATGATGGGCCAAGCGGGCGCATTCTACGCGACCCCTGCGGTTGGGAAGCTCTCACCAGGCTCAGAGTAGTCTGATCGACAGGGGCAGAATGCAGCCACTCCAGCGTCTGATGTTAAGCAGCTCGGGTGACGTGTGAGTCGTCGATCGATTGTGGCCTGGCCCGAAGTGGGAGCCCTAGGCAGGTGTCCATAGCGTTGCCAGGGCCATCACACCCTCTCAGCTCTCATCCTCCAGTGTGGCTACCACATGATAAGGACTACCAGACAGGTGTCCACAGCCTCTCGACTCTAGTCTTCCATTGTGGCTGCCACACTCGAAGGATCCCCCAGGCAAGTGCCAACAATATTGGCGGGCCATCACACCATCTTGATTCTAGTCTCTTATTATGGCTGCCACACTCCAAGGACCCCCAGGCAGGTGCACACAGAAATGGCGGGGCCATCACACCATCTTGATTCCAGTCTTTTATTGTGGTTGCCACACAGCAGTCACATCCAGGCAAAGTGCCCACCGCGATGGCAGGGTCATCACACCCTCTCAACTCTAGTCCTCCACTGTGGCTGCCACACGACAAGGACACCCGTCCAAAATATTAGCAGGGCCACTACACCCTCTTGTCTCTAGTCTTCCATTGTGGTTGCCACACCGCAGTCACATCCAGGCAAAGTGCCCACCGCGATGGCAGGGCCACCACACCCTCTCATCTCTCATTGTCTCTCAGATTCCACGGTGGCTGCAGCTGCCCTGGGACAGTGCCAGGGCTGTCCTAGCCGAGGGTCGCAGTGAGCTTGGTGAAGACGGACACCTCTCGGGCCTAGCCGTCGGTCATGATCTGCCGTGGCTGCCAGATAGGCCTGGCCTGGGGGGTTTCCTTACGCAACGGCCCAAGAGCACCGCCGGAGCCATCACACCCCGTCGAACTCTAGTCTCTTTCTCTCGTGTGCGTAAACTGCAAGAACGCGGCCAGCGATGGCTGATCCAACCTCATCTCGATATCCTAGCGAGATCCCCTGGGAACTTCGCAGCGAGAATGATGGAGTGCTGTATCCGTACCTGCTGCGGACCAGGCATCGACCCAGAAATGACTACCCTATTCTTATCACATCTTACCCATGTACCGTGGCACTGTCGAGCGGTCGATCTTGGCAAATCCATCGTGTTAATCGTGGTAGCAGCTGGTGTCTGAAGCCAGCAACCAGGCTCTGGGAACAAAGTTTGCTGGGAGCCAACGGACGAAACCCTCTCCAACTTGAGTGCCGCGGACCAGGAGTCGCTTGTAGCTCAACTAGAGGCCGAGCAGTATAAGATAGTTTCGCACACGCGATAGAGATATAGAGGAATTGTAGGGTCATAGCAATCAGCGCGAAGCACTTTGCCTGCCGGACAAGTATAGTATTCCGGAGCGAGAAAAGAAAGTCAAAGACAGTTGATATTTTGAACCCTTCAGACATGACCTGCTTTCACTGCGCCCGAATACATCGCTCTTTACATGATCCGTTAATCTGCCCCTCGACGGCTTCCCTGTCTTTAGCAGCTCCTGGCCTCTTCTCTCCCGCGAGATCGGTCTCGGTGAAACCTTGCATCCGGGCGTGTTGCTCCCAATAATCGTCCCGAACCCTGCAGCCACCCTCGACAACCTTACTGCCGAATTGGCGAAACATAGACCTCGCTGTGACGATTGCAACCTGCCTCGAGCAGTGAGAAAATGGTGTAATCTCCTTTTCAAAAAGGTCGTCCTTCTCAGCTTGGCTGGCAAGGATTTTGTAGAGCGACCTGTTTTTGTTGAAGAGAAGGTAGGAGTCTCTGTATGACAATACCCTAGCGCACTCGGCCGCAAGCATGAAGAGTTTGTCTCCGCGGTTGGGGACCAGAAAGGTGCGGCACCGATAAGTACGACCTCCAAGGAGCACCCCATTTGACATGACCTTCTTCTCGCCAAGCTCATCAATTCCACGCGGAATATATTCGTCGCTGGTCTCGTTGAGCTGGTCGGTCGTATGGTCTCTAAATGTTGGCAGAGCCCTTACAGCCGACTTGGTCGGAGTGGGCTTGGGAGGAACTGCCGCCAGCGCCGGAGGGGGGATATAGGCTGGTGCGGATTGATGCGGCATACTCGTGTCCTGCGAACTGAGGCACATGGGAGTGAGTGATGGACAGCTGATTGAAGCACAACTGGCAGGAATCTCGGATGAGATGTGCCTGGGTGCAGCGGGTTTCAAGGGCTCGACTTCGTTTCCGCGATGGGACGCCTACGCACGTGACCATCGGTGTTATCGTGCTGACCGCCAACGACAAAGGAGACTGGCTGTTAAAGCGACAGCCTCTACGGTCATCGGGATTGAGACACATGAAAGTTAGAAAGGAGAGAGTAACAACACTGCTCACAGGGGCAGAAGCTGTTGGATAGCGTGTGGATAATGTGTGGCCAGTGTGGTGTGGATCTATGAAGGATTTTGTAAGGGGCTTACAGCTTGAGGGATTTTGTGGGACACTTCATCAGAACATCAATCAATACAACACAATCAGGCCTTGTAACAGAAGCCTGTGTTACATTGGACTCGACCCTGCTGATGAATACTCAGGTCGTAGGTACGAGGTGTTACCCCGCCCGAGTTTCCACGCCAATGGAGAGCGAGCGACAGTCGGACCCTTAAGCGCCACTGTGTTCGTGATTATAAACCTGTGACTCTCCGCACCCACTCACACGGACTTGGGGGAATTCGTGCTCCGAAATAGTCATCAGACTTGAGACGCAGAGACCCGAAGGAGTCTTGGGTTGAGTTCCTCGATATCGTCGTAGTTCGAGAAATAGAACTCGCTGCAGCTAGTGAATTTGACTCGCAGCGCTAAGCCATTGCCTACCCATCTTCTTATCTGTATGAGGAAGAAGCCTTTTGGCGACAAAGGTGCCGCGGAGTTCCCTAAAGCTGATGTAGTTAATATTAGCTTTCTACACCACTATCAGCCTTCCCCTTAGCTGAGTCGAGAAGGGTATCCTAATCGCTCCATAGGAAGGTTTTCTTATTAGGAGCGTATGTTGAGCAGTCTGTGAGAGTTGAAAGTAAAGGGCCCAAGCGGGTGGGTTCGTACCGTTCTTCACATTGATGTAGCCTATTCATCGGCTCTGAAAACCTTCTTCCACCAGTGTCTCTCGTCGTAGCTCATTCCCGTTGTCATGATGCGCTGTATGCTGATTTTAGTTAGCACAGAGTTTATAGCTGAGGACCTCTCTTTTGCATGTTCTTGTGACCGGAAGCAGACTATTATTATGATTACTAACTCAGTCTCCACTTGTGGTCCAAGGCCGTGAATACCGGTAGATAGTCTCGTTCGATGTGGAAAGTTTGCATCGACAGATTCCCACATCTCTGCAGTTCAACAGCGGGACTCGGTTATTGCTTGCAAAATTCCCAAAAGTCGAAGCTACATCAGTCATTTTGCTAAGTAGTTGAAGAATAGAAGCTAGCAATGAGCGCAGTACATGCTGTGGGTGCTACATACCAAGCATCTTGAGTACACCTCAGAAGCGAGACGCATTGGGTGAGAGTCTGCATATACCAGCCGTGAGTCCTGTAGTACGGAGCTCAGTGCGAATGTCTTACTAATGAAGTGACCCCTCAGCGGTGGTCCGAAGCGGTCGGACTGTAAGCTACCGCGGTCTGTCTAAAATCTAACGACTTGTGGTCGACTCTAGGGTTCGGCCGAAAATCATCTACCAGACGAGCTCTGACCTATTTCCATCTACGATACATAGCACAATACAGTATTATAAAGCATCTGAGGTCTCCATCCATCTCGGGACGAGCCTCCTGGTCCGTATGAGCCACCATTGCTTGCACAAGAGTATCACGCACCCTTCGTCTATGGATCCTCCGGAGATGATTGCTCCACCAGCGGCTGCCGGTGTCCTGTGGCATGTGAATTGTGAGTGGGCCGTCGCGGCCCATGAAGCATGCTGTGAGTCCCAGGTCCGGCTTCGCAGTCGGCTGGAAGCGAGTCATGCGGAGATTGCTACCCTTCGACGGCAGTTGCAGGAGAGAGAGAGTCACCTCGAAGAGAAGGCACGCAGCCTCCAAGAGAGCAAGGCGTTCTGCAACGCGCAGGCCTGTCTGATGGAGATGCAGAGGAAGTTTATCGAAACTTTGCAGCAAAGGTCCGACTGGTTATCCAGTGATGAGGTCGGTCCAGATACAGCCAATCGCTCACCAACCGACTTATGCCTGGGCTCTCCTTTATTTCCGGCCATCAATACGCGCCCAGAAACTTCTTCTGCGGAAACAACTTCCCAAGCTCAAGATTCCAGCGCAAACCATCCGGTCAACTTCGTCAAGGGTCCTGGCGTGTGCCCTTGCAAGGAGTGTCTGGCCGAGCGCCAAATAGACTAATATGAGACTCATGCTCCTTGTTCTCTGACGATGGGAATTGCCACAGTTTATCATGATATCTCCAAGTCGTGTTTACAGTCGCTTCTTGGGGTACTACGCTTGGTGTCCAGGATTAAGAGATGCCATTGTGGAGGAATGACAAGAGGTGGCGACGTCACATTTGCAGTTAATGCCTGAGAGGTGTCCGTCTTCACCAAGCTCACTGCGACCCTCGGCTAGGACAGCCCTGGCACTGTCCCAGGGCAGCTGCAGCCACCGTGGAATCTGAGAGACAATGAGAGATGAGAGGGTGTGATGACCCTGCCATCGCGGTGGGCACCTTGCCTGGATGTGACTGCTGTGTGGCAGCCACAATGGAAGGCTAGAGACAAGAGGGTGTAGTGGCCCTGCTAATATTGTGGACACCAGGCTGGGTGTCCTTGTCGTGTGGCAGCCACAGTGGAGGACTAGAGATGAGAGGGTGTGATGACCCTGCCATCGCGGTGGGCACTTTGCCTGGATGTGACTGCTGTGTGGCAACCACAATAAAAGACTGGAATCAAGATGGTGTGATGGCCCCGCCATTTCTGTGTGCACCTGCCTGGGGGTCCTTGGAGTGTGGCAGCCATAATAAGAGTCTAGAGCCGGGAGGGTGTGATCGCCCCGCCATCGCTATGGGCCTCTGCCTGGGTATTCCTTGTCATGTGGCAGCCACACTGGGGATGAGAGCTGAGAGGGTGTGATGGCCCTGGCAACGCTATGGACACCTGCCTCCCACTTCGGGCCAGGCCACAATTGATCGACGACTTGCCGTGTGGCAGCCACACGTCACCCGAGCTGCTTAACATCAGACGCTGGAGAGGCTGCATTCTGCCCCTGTCGATCAGACTACTCTAAGCCTGGTGAGAGCTTCCCGACCGCAGGGGTCGCGTAGAATGCGCCCGCTTGGCCCATCATATGCAGATGCACCCATGGCAGACAGATAGCGATGGCGCACGACGACGGTTGTCAAGGCCGCCGTGAGTCCCAAGGTGAGGCTTGAACAGGATAGCAGCGTTTCCAAGGGATGACATCTATCAGGGAAGACATGGTTACGATAAGACACGGGTGCAGCAGGCGGGACCTAGTCTACTGAACTGTTGGCTAGTGTCAAGGAAACGACAAACTCGCCACAAAGCGGTCCTGTATCTTACTGTCTTGAGCATTCATAGCTTCCTAGCGAATAGAATAACGCGAAGGTTCAGAAGGACTCCATACAGTGTGTGTTTTGCAAAATTCTCTATTTGGACGGCGAGTTGCCGAACACAAAGCTGTGCTTCGCCGGCAGCTGAAAGTGTTCGACTGTGTGAAAGTCACTGTGCTAAATGGCACCCGTATTGACGGGCTATGACCCACTCATAAAGACCTGACAGTACCTATAGCGCTCGTCCAAAACCGGCTACTGTGGCAGCGCCAGCGCAGCTTCTTATGGATCATCAACTATGTACCTACAGATCCGCATCCAGGCTTCACAAACAGACAGAGTGCATGAATAGGAAGCTGCATTCGCTCACAACTGTACTGTATCACGGCCCACTGCAACATCTACTTCGCTTTGCTGTGTTCTTGCCGGCGCCTGTCCAGACAAACCCAGGGCTGTGCTCATCTCTAGTTGCCCTCCGCGTTGATCCAACTCGAGAACTCACTTTCCCAGCTTCCTCGGCTACCATCAGCTTCATCAGACACAATGAAATCCCTTCATCAGACGCCACAGCCTGCCTCGCCTAGCATGTTCCCGCAAATGTTTGGCCCCGAGAGCCACCCTCGCTTCTGTACTGTCACAGATGCATTCAAGCACCACGTACTCGCCAGCCCGAATTCCCTCGCCGCAGTAAGCCTCACCTCGGCACATAAGACCGAAGTGATCACGTACCAGGCCCTCTCGAGCCGCGCGGCGCGCCTGGCCGTTGAGATGCGACGCCTGGGTGTGCGCCCTGGCGACCGCGTGCCTCTGGTGGTCAAGCGTGGAATAGGCATGCTGGTGGGGATTCTAGCGGTGCTCTCATGCGGCGCCCAATACGCGCCCCTCGACGGCGGCGTCGTGCCAGAGTCTACGCTGCGCTCTGTAGTGGAGCAGAACAGCAGTGAACGTGGTAGCGTTGTGCTGGCCATGGGCGTAACGAAACACCGCCTCAGCGAGTTCCCCGACCTCACCGTCATTTGCGTCGACGAGCTCCGCCGAGTAGAAGGCGACGACGATCGCGAAGATGGTCTTGTGCTGGAGGACCTTGCAAAGCCTGACAGCGGGTGCTACATCATTTACACTTCAGGTTCGTGAAATGCGAAGGAATACGAGATATATTGAGCAAAGAATGGAAGGCTGATGAACACCCTAGGCACTACGGGCACACCAAAGGGGGTTGATGTTACGCACAGGAGTGTCACCAACTTGATTTGTCAATCGCCAGGCGATTTAGGAATCAAGACTGGAACGAAGATTGGTCAGACCCTTAATATTGGTTTTGATATGGGTGAGTTCATTTTGCGGGTGCGACATTCGGAACTGATTTGACGTGGCGCAGCTGCGTGGGAAATCCTAGGAGCACTATGTAACGGCGGAACACTAATTCTCAGAGGCTCGGATTGGGCTGCGTGCATCAGAGAGGTGAGGAGGAAGTGAGTGAACTTTGATCAAGCAAGGCTCAAACAAAGCAGATCGAGGTCCTCATATGCACTCCGACCATTCTCGCCAAATACGAGCCACATGACTATCCGAAGATCAAGACCGTCGCCACAGCCGGAGAACCAACCTCCCAGCGGTATATTGTAGTCGACACGCACCTTCCCGTATGCTGGGCTAACTTGAACTTCTAGACTAGCCGACAAGTGGGCTGCGCACCAGACGTACTACAACTGCTGCGGTCCCACTGAGGCCACGATTGTCAACACTATGCACAAGCACGTCAGTGGTGGGGCTGTGACTATTGGAAAGCCAACCCCTGGGAACAATATTTACATCTTCAACAAGGATCACGAACTTCTTCTCAATGGCGAGCCTGGAGTCATGTGGGCCGGTGGTGTCGGCGTGTCTAAGGGCTATGTCGGACTTCCCGAGAAGACTGCTGCACAATACCTCCCAGACCCATTCCTGGACATGACGTGAGTGTGAAAGAAAGAGAAGTACCCCAAAGCTGACCAATGATATACAGATACAAGATATACAACACAGGCGACCTCGGCAGGTGGCTCCCCGACGGTTCTATTGAGATTCTTGGCCGAGTCGATGACCAGGTAAAGGTTAAGGTGGGAAGCCTCGTCCCCTTCTCTATGGGCCTCCATCTGACGTACAAATTAGGGCTTCCGAGTTGAACTTGACGGAGTCTCTGCTTCGGTGAACTCTTGCAGTGCCGTTGACAGAGGCGTTGTGCTTTTCTGGCACGGAGAGATCCACGCGTTCATCACACCAGCCAACGCCGACATGAACATTGTCAAAACACACCTGCAGAAGTGCCAGCCATATTACGCCGTGCCTTCACAGTTCCATTTACTTGATGAGCTCCCGGTGACCTCCAACGGCAAGATCAACAAGCAGTTGCTTAAGGAGTCAATCTCTGACACCAGGACACTGGTCGTTGAGAAGGCCAGCTCTACTGCGGACCTGCCCTTACCGCCAAGCCTCCAAAAGGCAATATCCGATACAGCCGACACTACTTTGTGCAATCGGTCAAATTCGAGCTTCGTAGACGAGAAGCCCGAGCTCGACTGGGAGGCTGCCGTACCCGATAAGGTGGAGAGCAAAACAGTTCGCGGTATCCGCCATCGCGTGCTGATTGTCTACCGACGACTTTTCACTGTAATGGCTCTTCTCAACATGGCCACCGTCGTCATCGTGGCCCTCACCGGCTTCAAGCGCGAAGCCGTTGGCCACGCCACCGCTGTCAACCTCACAATCGCAGTTCTCATAAGACAGGAACTTGTCATCAATGCCATTTACACGGTAACATGCAGCGTTCCCAAGTCGTGGCCTCTTTGGATTCGCAGACGTGCCGCTCGGGTCTTCCATCTTGGTGGCGTTCATTCTGGGGCTGGCGTCAGTGCAGCGCTTTGGATGTTTGCGAACACGGCCGGCGACACAGCGTGCATGACGCTGGGTACTTGCGGTGGACACTGGGGGAAACCTTCCGTTGCTGTAAAGGTCATCACATGGATCATCGCCGCTCTTTTCGTTGCCATGATGGCTATGGCCTACCCGACGGTGCGCAAGGCGCATCACAACAGGTTTGAGGTTGTTCACCGATTTGTGGGCTGGACTGTGCTTGGCCTCTTCTGGGCTCAAGTGCTGCTCACCGCCAATGACACAAAAGCCACAGATGTTTCCCTTGGAACTGCCGCAGTGAGGACGCCCGCGCTGTGGCTCCTGGTTGTTGCTACGCTCAGCGTCGCCTCGTCTTGGTTCTGGCTCAGGAAGGTCTCCGTCAGGGCCGAGGCTCTGTCCAAACACGCGGTCCGCCTGCACTTTGATTACACGGTTCCGGTAAACGGCTCATTCACACGACTGTCTCATACACCGCTTCTCGAATGGCACTCTTTTGCCACCATCCCTGCTCCCGAGGCTGTTGATGGCAAGCCCAAAGGCTACTCACTGGTCGTCTCCAATGCCGGCGACTGGACTCGCGCTATGATCGAACAACCCCGCCCTAATATCTGGGTGCGTGGCGTGCCTACTTGTGGTGTCATGCGCATTGCGACCTTGTTCAATCGTCTCGTCATCGTCGCCACCGGTTCTGGCATCGGCCCCCAGCTCGGACACATCCTCAGCCCATCATGCCCGACCAAGCTCATCTGGTCGACCAAGGATCCCGAAAACACATTCGGCAAGCCCATGTGCCAGCTACTCAAGTCCAAGTGCCCTGACGCTGTCATCTGGGACACCCGCACCCAAGGCCGCCCTGACCTCGTCAAGATGTCATACAACCTCGCCAAGAGCTTCGGCGCGGAAGCCATCATCATCATCGCCAATGAGAAGACTACCAGAAAGGTTGTCTACGGCCTTGAGACGCGTGGCGTGCCTGCCTATGGGGCGATTTGGGATAGTTAGGCGCAGACAAAGGGTGCATTTTAGTAGTCAAATTCTTTGACGAGGAAGCGAGTTATTTTCTTTTGTACCTTGGCACTTCTTTTACTATAAGTCTTTCATCTCTCGGTGCTTCTTCTTCTCCATGTGACCACCCCTAGTAGGAGATACGAGATCCCACCACTCTCTCACAGTTGAGCGACACATATCTAATGGACTGGGATTGGATGCATGCTGTTAAGAGACAGACTTCAACTGCAAATGATACAGTGTGATGACGACGAGGTCGAGTGACTCATGATGTGCATCTAATTACATGAAGCCTATAAATCGCACTGAACAGGCCACGGTAGACTACTTACACGACCGGTGTAATGACTACGCCTGAGTCGTTGCGCCATGGGCAAAGATCAGGCATTGATTGAATGACAAGCGATCAATAAAGGCGTAATAGCTCCACATAGGGCGTTACGGGGAACCGCACACATATAACAAGGATAGTTACGGATTCTTATCTTGGACTGTATATAACCATCAGGCTTCTTGTCTTTGTTGCAGGAGAGCTTGCGCTGTCAACCTCGAGCTAGTCGCTTCTTCCGAGGTGGGAGTTCGAATGTAGCCTTTTTCGAGCATTTCGTCGATATATTCTCGTAGTGTCTTAAGTTGCTTCTCGTTGAGGTTGTAGAGTTTGTGGATCTTGGTCGAGGTTCCGGTTTTAAGACAGATTTCGTGATCCCACTGACTATGTTAAGGGATACCCATTTCGAGGGTTTCCTTGAACAACCTGCTGTACTTCCTGTACTCTGGAGGTATACTCGTCATTCGATCAAATTGTAACGGCTACGCCTAGCCGTTGCGCCACCGGCAAAAGATCAGGCATTGATCGAATAACGAGCGATCAATACAGGCGTAATAGCTGCTTATAGGGGGTTACGAGGGACCAGGTCGTAACACTAAGTGTGGGTGAGGTTGTTTATACTCGTTAGCGTGGAGGGATGGATGGTCTGCCCTAAGTTTCGTCTTGCTTGTCTTTCGAGCACCTTCCCTTTGATTTATTTTTTTCGTGGCACCTAGTGTTAGTGCCTGCACCCAATCTACCGCAAATAACTTAACAAGCCACAAAGAACCCCCAGCACGCCCACCGGCGTCGCCATGGCTGCGCCGGCAGTCCCCGAGGCGGCCCCGGGACCGCCCCCCGTGAAAACTCCACATAGGAACAACTCTGCGTACCAGCTGCTACTCGATAGCAACCCGCAGACCTTTCTCGAAGAACTTTCTTGAGGACGTTGGGTTTTGGACACATGAATGTTTCTTGTTCAAAAACTCATTTGTCTTCGCGTAAAATCGGTCGCATTGCGGACATGTGACATTACAGTCGTGATCTGTACTGCGTCCATGCACAAGCCTTGTCAAAAACAGGAAACCGGACGCCTAGTGTAGTGCCGCGTATAGTCGTGCGGTCGCTTAGATTGATGTGGGCATTTCGAGCATTGGAACAACGTAGATCTCGTAGTTTGACTGCGCCGGGTCTTGGAAGGCTGTTTCTCTGGGTGCGAACGTCTGTTTTGATTGCGATATGGTGATCGAGATGCATTGAAAAGCTCTTCATCGGATTGAGCGCTATCGGATGGCGTAATGTCAGGCAATCGGCTCAGTAGGTCGAGCATTTGGGCCTAAGATAGCAATTAGAGACAGTAGAGATAGGAACATCATGTGCTTACCTGATGCTTCCGCAGATGTACTTTCACGTCCTTTCGCGTAATGGATTCAAAGCAGACATCACATTGGAAAGCTTCAAGAGTCATGTTGAAGGGGTTGAAGAAGGGAAGTTCGGAAGCTTTGATCAACACGCTTGCTTCTACCCCGCTAGTACAGTGTTATCTTTGAACCTAGACGGTGACGCCCATTACGCAATAGTGGACAACGCACCAAAGACAAAGTCCGCCAGAACTTGCTTTGTCGAATAACCCAGCGTGGATACGAATGAGGCCCACCTCTGGATGGCCAGGCCCCGTTTGACAAGTACTTTAAGGGACTCTGTAGCACTGGGATGCGCGCCTTTGAAGGGCAAGTTCCATTCGTTGGGCGTAGAATACGACAGGACGTGACGATGGTGGGCCACACGGGATTTTTAATTTTCCATTTGCTGAGGGTACAGCCACACCGGCTCCCGTACTATCGATCGCTGATAGCAGCATCATATGCTGCTAAGATGGGTGCATAAAGTTGGTCTGGGTCTCCTGCAGGGGTTCCAAAGCTCATCCTTTCATCTTGATCCAACGGAAAGAGAATCTTCCTAATCCTCAGACAGAGCGGCTTAACAACATCTAACGCCTCTGGAAACTCGCTCATTATCCTTTCGAGACTGTTCACGGTCATGTGACCCTCCTTGGCATCTGCGATATCTTGAAATCCCCCAATCTCCCATTTTCGGAGAAGGCTTACCTTACGTGGCTTCTCTTCGCCGGCGAATCCGTTATTCCATGATTGCCGCACACACATCCAAAGCAAGACGTAAAAGAACGACTCCAAATCGTGACGGTAAGTGTGGTCAGCTTTACGTAGCACCTCGACCGCCATGAATTGCATCGTGCCCGTCTGATGCCGCGCTCCGCTCGGGCCGCTGTGTCTCACCTTGGCCAGATCAAGGTCGATGAGCATACCCTTGAAGCCATCGGCCGTCTCGGGCTTCGTAATAATGATGTTATTTGCTGAGATGTCGCGGTGGAGAATGTTGCCATTGACGTAGAGAGACTGATGAGCCTTGATCGCATCTTGCATCGACTCCAGCAGTTCCTTGATGGTTCTGAAGTCGCTAATAACACGGCCGGCTGGCGATACGACGAGGCAGGAATATATCCTATTTTCCCACAGGTCCTCACCAGGCGTATACAAGCTCGGCTTGGCCCTGCCAATTGATAGCTGGTCGTTTAACTCTCGGACCAGCCTCGACTTCTGACTGTTGGACCGCCGCTTCTTGGATCCGGACGCGTCGTCGGATGTGTGGTCGGACGATGACTTGCGCTTTTGACCTGAAGAGTTCGTGCTTGCAGTGGTTGATGGCGGATCGTCAGCGTGGACGTCTTCATCCCGGAACCGATGACGTTCCAGAAACTCCAAGCCGTCACGTATCTCTGCAATGGTAGTGATTCGACGATGCGCCACCACTTTGGCCACTCCCTTGACGCCCCGTTCTTCTGCTAGCTTTAGCTGTTCCACCTCCAGCTTCCGCTTATCCGACGCCCACGAGAACTTCGCAACATGGCTATTTCGAGTCTCAAAGCATGTGGTCCCTCGACAAACAACTGCCTTCTGCCTGACTATCGGGCTCCTCAGCCTAATCTTCGATTCGTTGCCATTTAGGTCGTCCAATATAACACAGCGATGCCCGTCCTTTCGTTCGATGAATGTGTCCAGGCCCATCGCATCGTCGTCCATTGTGGCATACCCAACAAAAGCGCGCGCAAATTTATCCGGCTCGTCATGAATGTCAAATGGTCCAGAGCTGTACGGTCCAGATCGATCGAAGACCCAGAGCTCCATCGTGGACGCGCAGAGAGAGAACGCGTGGACAAATCGGCGCGTCGGCTGGTCGGCGAAGACGCCTCGCACATAGCGCGTAATCTGAAGAAGGTCCGCCTTAAATCTGCCCGTGTCGTATGACTTCTTTTGCTCTCCAACGACAAGGACATGCTTGTACCAAAAGGTGCCGTCCGTTTTCTTGGCTGGCGTCTGGAAGAAGATATCCATCTGGCCTCTCCGTTCCTGGAACTGGTGGGCGGTTTTAGTGGTATGAAGCTTGTACGATGCATCGGCTAGGAAGCGCTCCTCTAGTGCACGGAACCAGTCCCAGACCGGCTTTTCGTCCGAAGGGGTCGGGAAGTCTGTCCATCTCTTTCCGTCGTGTGCTGTCATCATCCCCTTCAGCATTGCTTTCTGCTCTTTGCGCCAGCGCCTGGAGTCAAAGAACTTGTCGCAAAATCCCTTCACATTGCGAAAGGTGCAGTCCTTTATCTCGAAGAAGAGTTCTCCTTCAACGACGTCGCGCGTTTCGCTATCGGCAAGTCGGCTCGAGCTGGTTTTGATTGGTGTTCCTTTGAAGGTCGGGGCAATGCTGGATGGGGGAGGAGTGAGGGTGCTAAGAGAATCGATGACGGTGAAGACAGCTTCCCAGACGTCGATATCGGGGGAATCGGCAATTACATGGCGGACGAGAGGATGGAATTGCTGGGTCTTTATTTCGCCCCCTCGGACATATTGTAGAATAGATAGAAGCTTGACTGCAACGCTACCGCTTTCGTCCGGCGAAGGAAGGCTAAACGCAGCTGGCGAGGCAACTAAAGCCGAGAGAAGACTCGCAATATCTTCTTGTCGCGGGTCGCTGGTCTCGTTGAAGTCGCGCAATTTGTCTCGGAAAGGATCAAGAGTATCATTGAGTGGGCGTTCTGAAATGATCTTGACGTGCTTCTCTGTAAGGGGCATTTTGATGTCGTGTAGAGAGCACGGCTGATGTACAGGTCCATTAAGAGAGCAAGGGAGAGGTAAACCGAAAACAAAGCAGACGCGACGGCTCACGTGTTTGTAGGGATGCGTGACAGCGGGCCACCAGGTCGCAAACGGCAAGGACGGCCGCTAACCCATTTGTGGAAAGTGGGGGCACCGTGAGAAGCGACTTGGCCGTTGTTGGAAGAAGAGGATCGATCAACTGCCGGGGCGGCGGCACAGACGCTGCTGAGACAAATGGTGTGAGGTTGAGGAGGGCGCAGAGTCGGAAAAGGCTTTTGAGAGCTGAGTTGGCCGGCTGTCTATTCTCCCTGGTCTTGGACAGTTCGTGGGTTGCTGCTTGGGACAGTTCCTCTCGCAATATGTGTTGCAATAGGTGGGATATGCCCTCTGACCACAAGGCCGTTCGCCAACAGAAGCTGATAACCGCTCTGCAAATGGCTGTTCTTTTTAAAAATTTCTTCTCGCTGATGATGTTTTATCTGAAACTGTACAGAAGTGGACTTATTCCTACTTAATACCGCGATATTTCGCGCAACCATGCTCGGTTAATGTTGTGACATTCGAATGTACGCGCTGGGATTTCGGGGAGTTGTGTCGTATGCTGGGTGCCCACTCAAGGACATGTGGAGTCGTCAATTGAGTTGGAAGGAACAGATACCGATGGCCTTCGTGATCGATCCCTTCTTGACGTGTTCTTGTGCAGTCTGCTGCCTGCGGGGTGCCCAACCGACCCGAGATCAGTTTGGAGCGTTGGTGGTTCAGCTTCAGGTGCAGAGGCTGACTTTTGGAGACTGTCGGGTTCAGTCTTAGGGGCATTTGCAGCTCAGGTCCGGCACTCTTCCGGACCGTGTGCCGCGGGTTATCTTCGGTCGCTTCGACTGTTCGCCAGACCCCGATACGAAAACGGACGATGCATCTCGTATAATGATGTGCTGTCCTACCCGGCTCGCGGCATCAGCAAATGGACGCCAAAAAGCACGCATAAAGCCTCGCGCTTCGACGTATCATCGGCTTCACTAGTAGCGCAGCCGTCACGTCGGGCACACTTCCAGGCCCCATGGATGGTAAGCGTCGGCAAACCAAATTATACAACAACTGGAAGGTGACACGATGCTCAGCGGCCTCAAGCTTTGGGAGGCCTTTGTCCGAGCCACCATGCATTGTTTGTGGATTCCTGTACGAGCCAATGACCCGGATTCCAGAGGTTCCTGAATCCGAAAATAGGACTGCTCGTTCAGATCTGAAAATAAACGCATCTGTTGACGCGATACCGAAGCAGGGGGGCCGTAAGAAGCCAGCGTCAGTAGGATGAGCCAATCATCTCACGCCTTCACCGCGATGGAGCAATCGCTGGTCTCGTGGCGGTTTTGGGGCGACGATGTTTGTTGTGTATGAAGTGCCTGAAGGAACTGCGCTTCCGGACGATCTTCTCCTAGTACATGAACGATTAGATCATTACTCCCTCCAGCCAGCGGTGTCAATGAATGTTACAGGCGAGTGCACATGCTTTCAATTTCCGCACGATTGGACTAACATACCAGCGTCAGAGCTCAACGAAAAGATAACTCGTTTCCTTACAGCTAATGCGAGAGTTTTCACGAGGAAGCAATGGATAGAGAAGTACCCGAAAGCGACTGAAAGCTTTTAGGCACGAGACATGTACCAATACTAGAGGGCGAGCCCCGGTGGCGTCGGGACTGCTGGAGGCAGGGAGCCTGAAGGCTTGGGAATCCAATACCGAGCCATGTCAGGGTTTCCCAGACGATGCAGCGAGTGTGGAGATATGAAGGATACATATCGCGAGACATTTCGGCGCTAGCCATACATATAGGCGTTGAATTCAACGATGCATAATTTCTCCATGCAGAGAATGCAAGAAAGTGGCCAAAATAGAGAGTCTCAAGGAAATGACGTGTTAGCAGGGAGGGGCGTTTGACAGGGCACCACAGGTCACAGCCGCAGCACCACCTGGCAGGAATTGATTCCCGTTCCGGTCGAGCGGCGCAGCTCCAACTTGCCCCGCCAACGTTTCTCTTACGCCATTAGGCTATTCTGACGAGATATAAGCTACGTGAATATCTCCCCCATCTCTCCGTCTCGCTCTCCCACTTCTCGTCAAGGGTTTACCGCCTGGCTAGGATGGCCTCACAGGCAATCCCAAACATTGACCCAAAACATATCTTTGCTGCTGTATCCGAGCTCGGAATCGTCGGAAATTGCCCATTCTTGGACGGAGAATACCACGGAGGTGAGTGTCGCGTCTTCAAACTCAGCTTCAAAGACGAGGCAAGCGTGGCCGTCCGTGTGCCGCACCCAAATGATGACAGCAGCCACGACAACACGATAGCCACAGTTCAAATCGAGGTCCGTATCCTCGAAGAACTCAAGGCAAAGGGCTTCCCCTGGGCTCCGAGATGCCTCGGGGCTAGCTTGACTTTCGACAACCCCGTCAACCACCCCTTCGTCGTGTTGACTTGGGCCGAGGGACTTCCCTTAAGTTGGGACGAAAATTACCCGCCCCGGCCACTTCGAGATTCTTTACTTGGCCAATTAGCCTCAATACAGCTATCCTTAATACAGTGCACACTCCAAAATGGTACGAGGCCTACTCAAATGACGAATCACGGTTCTCACCATGTATACCAGGTTCTACTACTGCAATGGCTTTCTTCGGACGACGTATAGGCAACAGGCTAAGGCATGTTCGAGAGGGAAGCATTCCTAGACTTACCGAGAAGGACTGTCTCGACCAGCAAGCTCTGCTTGATCAGGTACTCGATGGAGATCGGAATAGCACCGTCTTCGCCATAGATCACGGCGATATCAAGCCGGGAAACATTATCGTCGACGGGAATTACAACATCAGATGGTACATATGGATTATCGCCATTACATGTTCATTACACGACTAACTAACTGCGACAGTGTCATCGACTGGGGCTTTGCGGCGTTAGTTCCAATTGCCAGAGCTGCTGGACTTCCTCGCTTTCTATGGCCCGCCCATTCGGCTAGATTTGCTCCGAGCCGAACGATCCTGAAAGACAGACAGGCTTACACTCGCTCTCTTTCTTCCTATACTTCACCGGCGGCCTTGTTCATGCTGCGTTGGCAAACCGCTGAAGACGTGGACTTTCGAACCCTCTATTTAGAGTCTATCTCCAGCAAAGGAATGCACATTTCTATGGCGCGCATCGATTGGAAGGTTGATTGTGTATTTCTCGGGCATGATGAAGAACAAGGTCTCGCGGATGCTCAAGAAACTTGAATCATCACCGCTGTGCGTTGTAGGACTCTGGCGTTCGAGGAAGAGGGAACAACGTGGAATTGTTTCTGAGCGAAAGAAATAGCTATGTCATTCAAATAACTATGGCCTGTTGAAAGACCAACTGCGGGCGTCTTATAACCAAAACAAGCGGTCTGTTGAAAGACCTTCGACCATCTGGAACTTGCCAACCGAAAAGGCTTTCAGAATGGCAGGATACTACAAAGCGTGAGCAAGCTAGCTATATGAGACGAGGGATGTAATTTACGTCTTTAGGCTGGAGATTGATATTGGCCCTGCCCTGGGTGAATTCGCAGGAACCATCAAAATGGTCTCCGGGATACCGGGCCAAGCCGAATAGATCATCCAAGCCGCGTAAGGCGAGTTCAGCCTTGAACTTCTCGATGAACTCCAAGTCCTTGTCTGTGAAACTGCCGTCCTGGGTCTCGGAGTAGTAGAACTCAGTAGGTCTCAAGAGCCCTCCGTCGTCAAAGGACCACATGGCTGGCTGTGGTTCCTTCATTTCAGAAAATCCGCCGGACTAGGGGGTCGAAGTCCCCTTATACTCGACCAGCTTCTCGTGGTGTTCCATATCGAAGTGGCCTACTACAAGGCTCTCACGGACGAGGCGCTGTCGCGTATCCTGCCCGTTGTTCAATTCCATGCGCGCGACCTGCACGACGCCGTCCAGCGATGCAATGCAAAGCTCGATACTCTTTTACCAGAGAGATACAACGAGGAGCCGGTGGACATTGGGGGCGTCGAGTGTTGATCCGGTAGCGTTACCACGATTTGGCCGTCCAAGGAATGCTAGCCACGCTGTAGAGCATCATACATTCATCTACCTCGTGGTGCCCACACATGTCCTTGCAGCACAACCCGTCCAAGTCCCCTTATCTGTCTGTCTTGCACGAGGCCTCGCGGTGCAGCCGGCCGCACTCTTTCGCGGCACCCCTCGTTCCGACGACTTGCCGTGTGGCAGCCACAAGTCACCCGAGCTGCTTAACATCAGAAGCTGGAGTGGCTGCATTCTGTCCCTGTCGATGAGACTACCCTGCGCCAGGGAGAGCTTCCCAACCGCGGGGCCACGAGAATGCGCCTGCTTGGCCCATCTTGTGGGATGCTCTTTGAGCTCCCCCCTCATCTCATCCGTATTAGCTTTCCGTTCGACCTCATGGCATTGCTTCAGACCTCATCATAGATTCCACAGTCGTAGTTTCAATCGAAGTCAGCCACCTCGGGTGGTGCTGATATCAGCGGGAATCCCCAATTGTTCCGTACTCAGTCTGCCTTTCCAACACCAACTTGGCTAAAAGCAACTGAATCACATTGTTTGTCTCTCTGAACAAGGTCGCTGCGTTCGGGAGTCCCTCTTCGTTGACCGCTCCTGGGTTGTGATCTCTATTGACAATGTCCCACAGCCGCAGATTAGACTTGCGAAGATTGTATAGGCCACTCATGAGCTCTGTTGTACCATAGTTTTCTTACCACCTAGAGTTCAGCTACGGCAACAACAACAATTTGTGGGGAAGTCAGTTTGGTTCTGGTACCCAATGCACGTACATCGACACTGTTGTCTATTCCGGCATTTCCTGCCACCTGGCAGCAGTTTCAAGTCAGAGCCTTTTCTGAAACCCATTACAAAGATAACGAAGCTTAATGAGGAGTTCTTGAACACTTTCTGGAAGCAAGGTCGTAGGCATCACTTCAACGCGGTCTGGGACGACGAAGGTGAAGATGAAGTCAAGCTGGCCCGCACGAAGTTGCTGGATAAAGGAGCTGCTCCCGACTAAGTGGTATAACTATGTCATCCCGAACTGCCCGGCCGAGCTACACAGGATCTCCTTCCTATCCGGCACGCGTGCAGATCATTTCACGACTTGGCGACCCCCGTCACGACGCTGAGAGGCTGAGAGCCGTCTTGTTGACTAGATTACGTCGCCGTGCATTTCTAAGGAGTCTTGGCGTGTTTTGGTAGTGTTGGTCATTGGCAGTGCTCGTATGGTCAATTTAGACAATGAGGTAGGGATGCCCATGCGACAACCGGCTTCCGCAGGTATCCAATACTGATCCTAGCCTCTTAATGGATATCGGGGCATATGCGTGGCCATACAACCTGTTTCGGCCCATCCGCAAGCAGCGATCTCCGCTCGCCCGCTTAGATGGTACAATAGCACCTGATGGGCTTAAAAATTCATTTTCGGGATAGGCATCCCGCTCCTGGCGAGAAGAAAGTCTCACAAACATGTCGCTGGTTCTATTGCCACAAGAGTTGCTCCTTACAGCGTTGGAGAGTCTGGACATCGAAGATCAATGGAGCTTGGGGTTGACTTGCAAGCAGCTATTTGCCCGAATTGCTTACTCCGACCAATGTTGTCGCCAATTACTAGGCGTATGTATCTCGCGTCCACGTCATGCAAGTCAAACTCATCTCGAATAGAACACGCTTCGATATTCGGTAGACTTCCGAAGAGCCGCGGCATCTGGGGCTTATGCTCACACGTGGCGCTGTCTAGCCAAACGGCGTCGCGCCGTGAGAGACGCCAAGCCATACCAGGTTGCACTGGTCAATGTCCCGGGAGGGTTCACCCTATGCAACGACGCCCTCATCTCATGTCGGGAGAGATGGGTGCACGTGCTGTTGTTGAATAACTCAGGAAGCCGGAACATACGCTTGGACGCCTTCGCCCTGCTCAAAAAGGCCCTCCCTTCTATCCCCTGCTGCGACGTCGACAAGGTCAATGTCCTGCATCAGGCGTATGGTATCGTCACGCTTCTCTACCAGCTCGGAGACAGCCAACTACTGGTCCTGTTTTGCGACCCCACAAAGGGCATTATCCTGGGATACCAAAGCTTTTTCGACGTTCTGTGTTTGTTTGTCCGAAATGATAGCAAGTATCTCTACTGCGGACATTTCAGGAGCGAGGATGACTCTGGCCCACGATGGAAGGTCCAGTGCTATATTCTGGGGGAACGCCGCTGGCTGAACACGATGCAGCTAGGACCGCATTTCGCCGGGTGCGACCCGGACAAGACCGTGTGCTTCGAGATATTCGACGGGCACCTGTACGGGGCGACCCCTCGGTCGGTATATTTCGGGCCGTATACATATAACTTGACCCAAGGACAGTACCGGTGTGTCCAGGTGATCGCGCGCGACTCCTTGCACGTGAAGGAGATAGGAGGGAATTTCAAGGGCGGAGGGCTACCCGTACTTTGCGAATTCGACCGTATTATGCTCAACCGGGACGAAAAGACAGGCGCTGTCTTCTTCCAGATGTGCCGCATGAGCATGTCGAGCGAGTTTTCCCTGGATTGGAGCTACAAGCAAGTTATCTGCCCAGGCAGCGCCTCGGCATCAGACGACTTCGACCTGTTGTCGTGGAGCCCACCTCCGCCGATAGTAAAGGGCCCCTACAGCCAAGGCTACGACGCAGCCTCCGGAAATCTTATCGCCTCGCAGTACGATACCGCTAGTAGTGTGTCCATCGACTTGATTCGTCGGCCGGTAGATGTCTCGCAAGGAGGGCTCATTCTTCGAGCCCAACGCATAGTCGAGCGGCCACGAACTAAGCACGACCCAGCCAACGAAGTCACTCTGGACAAAGCGGATATGCTGAGCATTTGTTGTCCATGGCTAAAAATCTGGAAAGAGAGTCGCCCGGCCCGTCACACCAACTTACTGTACGCGACACACACCACCAAACATGCTTGGAATGGCAAAGTCTTCGCCGTGAAGTGTTCGGCGGGTGACACCTCCTGTACATCGGTGCTGATCGTGTCTTTTGACCCGTCTATCCGGATAGAGGCGACGCCGCGACGGCAGGGACAGTCTGCAGGAGACATAGGCGGAGGAGGCTCGTGGGCGAGGCAGTGCGACTTTCCTATCATGTCGAATTGTTCCTTGACGTAGTAATACGCCAATATATGATTCCGTCGAGACAGTGTCGGATGAATCGTAGACTCGAGCCTATGGATAAACTATACACGACTTGATACACGGTTGATTCGCATCTGTGACATAATTCCGGAGGGAAGGTAAAGGCTTGTGTGTGCCCCGAAGTTTAACTCACGTGAATGTGCCGCGTCTGATCCTGACCAAGCCTAGCGACAACCAACAACACCGCGATGTCGCGGTTCGTAACACATGCCATGACATAAAGAGTCTGATTGTCAGAGTGCTCTCTGTGCTAGGTCTGAACTAACGCATGTCTACCCTGACGCCATTGCTTCTGCAGTCCGATCATCGACAGTCAGACCCTTGGATCCCGGAGCGCAAGTTCTTTGCTATTGCCTTCCTCCCAAGTTCTTCGTCCGTATTCAGATCCTTGGTCCCTCTACTTCCCTGAGATTGGGAACCGCTCTACGACAACTGAGCTCTCTGCGCCGGAGAAGGACCAATGAAAGCATCTGACTTCTGCACTTCTTAACACTTTATCGTGACCCCCTTCCGAAAAGCTCGAGCCCATGAAAATCGACTCCCCCGTACGTGCATGACTCTTCCTGGCGGCCATTAACAGCTTGGAAGCCAGTTCTTGGATGATGTGGCGTTGCGGCTGCGGCTGAACTCCTTATCTGATGGTGCATGTGCTTTTCTTCTGCTCTGCGATCTGGCCAGTTACTCGCATAGAACCCATTTCTATGTCTGACGTTTGTGAACGCGGCACCGCTATCGCTGACGGGTCCGACCCGCCCAGGGGTGAGGTGACCCAGCTCCGTCTCGGATGAAGGTAGAGCGTCTCGAGCTACGTTCCGAAGGAAGTCTTGGGCGACGTTCGTAGGAGACATTGGGACCGCCGGGTTGTTCAATAAGTCTCTCACGTCCATCGAAGCTTTGCTTGTCGGGGTGATCTTTTCGTTCTTACCACCCAAGGCTTCGGAACTGGTAGAACCACACTTGCCAGTAACCATGCCATTTTCGTGCTGCATTTCCGCCCCTTGCGCCTCATGAAGAAGGATATCCGTTTCTGGCTTGACACCCAACGTCACTGAAGGTAAAATTTCTCGTGAGCCGCGGCATTGCTCTGGTGTAGGCTGTTCTCTGGCTCTGCTCGGCTCTGCGGTAGCTTCTGTGGCTACTCCATAATGAGAATTGTCAGCTGTTTCCAGGATGCTTTGGTTTGCCTCTTGGGCATGCGAAGTCTTCTCCGCATCGTCCGTGGCGTTTGGGCTGACTTGGTCCTGGCCTTGAGCACCTTCCGCCCCTTTCACGCCTTCCGCAACCACGGAACCTCTTGGTTGATCGTTCGCTGGTATCCCATGGTTTGTTTCTGGAGAGTAACATGCCGAGAAATCGCTACCAGGAGCAACACTACCAGACCTGTTCATCCCTGCGGCGGGCCCACTCTTGTCTCGTTCCAGGTTCTCTCGTCTTTGCAGCTCCCTGAGAACAGCACTGCGGTTGGCGACGGATTGCAAAGTCGGATCAGTCTCCTCGACTTCCTGGAGATCCACTGCTGGAATCCATGCCCGCGTCCATTTCTTCATGTTGAGATTATTGATCAGGACAACAGGATGTTGCCGCTCTCGAATCTTGGGTCCATCGCCTCTGTAGTCCTTGGCCCACACAAATGCGCCATTTTCATTCTCATAGCACCTCGGAGGGTCGGTTGCCATCTCCTTCTCGAGATCCTCTGTCTGTGCCTGTAGCCCAGTAATGCCAGGACCTTCGACACTAGGCGGGAGTGGCAGACATACTGCCGCCATCATGTTCTGGTATACCCAAGCAAGGTAAATCTGGCCTGGTTTGGGATCGAACACAGGCTGCGACACAGCTTCAGTCCTGCGCTGAATAGACCTCTTCATGTGTCTCTTTGGAACAAAGTCGGCTTCGGCATCGTCACCGTCACCGCCAGACATCGTGCTCCGACGCCCGCTTCTGCATGGCAAGTGAGGCTCGCGGGCTTCTAAATCGGCGTCCACAGCGCGGTTGTTCTCCTCCATCAGCTGAGGAGTGCAATTGAGCACCTTGTAACCTAGAAGCGCGAGGGCCATCTCGTTCGACTTCTTCGCGAACCCATGCTGGTCGGTAAATATATGCTTGCCAGCACCTTTGAGCGGTTGCTTGGTATTGAAGGTCATGTTGTGTTCCTTGCACCACACAATCCACCAGTTCTCATCACCATTTACTCTGAAGATCTTGTGTTTGCTCTTGCCGTTTTGAAAGAATTTGTGAATATCGATTGTACGTTCTTCCTCGCACCGGGCAGCTTTCCGTGGAATGTCCTTCGGTTGGGACATACGACGTTTCTATAGATACGCGTTAGTCGTAATCGGCACTCGCAACAGAACCATCACCTTTGTCTGGCGTCCGGATAAAGTTTCGAGTGAGCGAGAAGAGGCGTCTGGGCTGGGCTCGGAAACGGGGTCCGGACGGTCACTATCATCATGCGAAGTAGCTCCATTTTCGTGACGATCTGCTGGGAAATTCCCATCGTCGGATGGCGTGGAGTCATGGAGATAAATGTCCTTCGCGCCAATCTCATCCAGAAGTGCTGGTTCTCCGCTTTCCAGGTCGCGCAGGCACTTGAACTTCTCCTCCTGCTGCGACCGTAGAGCCTGGGTGAGAGGCCACACATTCTTGATGAAGTCGTCCAACCGAGCGTAATCAGAAAGATCTCCGTACGGTTCCCGCTGCTTCTGTATGTCCTCTTTTAGCTGCTGAATATCAGAGTTGAGTTGCGACTTGGTTGCCAAATGGTTCTCAAGCTTCGGCTTGATGACACTGTGCTTGGCGAGGCGCTCGTCGAGTCTCGCAAGCTCTTGCTCAACCTGTGCTCTGCGCGTGCGGTCCACTTCCTCATGCGAGCGCACGGTTTCGAGCAACCGATCCAGACGGTTTGCCGTCGCCATGATAGCATGTACGGATCAATGTAGTAGAACAGACTCGTCGCCGAGCAATTCACACGTGAGGCACGCAAAAGATATTAGAAAGGAAGCGAAAACCAGGGAACTAGCGCGTGTTTATAAATACTCCGTAGCGGCGTTAATTTCCTTCCCAGCTGCTGCCCCACTTCGCCCGCCGGCGCCTTGGCTCAATACTAGCGTAAGGTAGCCCCTACCGTTCCTACTGCGGGTGGGCAGCTGGTCTCCGCCCTACCCAGGAGGTCCACTAGTCCGACTGGAGTCCCCGTACGAATGACCAGTCAGAAGCCTAGCTTGTTTTCCTGTTTTCCATGGGACCTGCGCACAACGTGTCGACTTACTTTTTTTTGGGACACCTGAAATATCCTCTTGTGAGGGGTGGGAAAGGGTGCTGAACCCCTGCTGATATCATGTGATAACGTGCAAGTGGAGGGCGCAAGCACACCTTTGCTCACATTAAGAGGTGTTGAACAAAGGTTGTGGGCGTGTGGGTAATGACCTACGCCTTGGAGGCATACACCAGGGGTTTTGGTCAGGCTTGGCAGAAATTGGCTTTGAAGAGGAAAGACAACAGGTTGCAAGATGCAGTGGGTAGGCCAGTGGGGTGATCAACATCATCCAACCACCCCTTCTTGGCGTCCAACACCGGCCACCCGACCACATCACGCCGTCTTTCGCCTCAAGTCAGATCTGCCAAACGTGACCGACCCCACGCCTCCCAGGCCATAGTCTATTGGACTCAACCCTTGTTACTGCATAAGATACGTGGTCCATTGATGGCGTGATGGGAGAACCACACTGGGGATGGTGGTCGGTGTAAGTGCCGTCGTCATTGTGCCCAGTCGAACGAGCGTGCAAAACGTCGTGGAGCTTGAACGAAGAGGCGACTTTGGCTACACATAGCCCACCTGCAGTATGTTCAGAAGTCCTAGGCATAAGTGGCATGCCAGGAGCAGACAACTGTCGTTGGTCATTAGCCGTGTCAGCGACACAAGAGTAGTAGTCTGGTGGAGACAGGCCCGCGCCACTTGCACGTACTTCCTGCTCCAGGTCACGCATGGTGGACTGGCTGAGGCGGAGAAGGGCTGTCAGACGATTGTCGACGTACGCCAAGCGATACGCATTGCGTTGATAGATGACAATAAATGAAACAGTCGCCTGGAGGAAGCTGATCATCAGCTGCATGTCAATGGCGGACATCTTGCTAGCTTTGGTGTCAATCGCGCCGTGTGGTAAGCCTTAATAGTTGTTGAAGGTTGAAGGTTGAAGGTCGACAATGTTCAGTTGTACTTAACTATAAGCATTATACATACTGGTCGAAGCGCTCTGTGTCGTGCTCTATTTTGCGCTGTTCGACGCAGTTTTATTTCTTGGTGCCGGTATACACAGGCCTTTATGTATGTCGATCTCTCGAATATCATTCGTTTGTTTGAGGATTACATTAAGGATAAGCCGCACTGAGAGTTCGACAGCACCGAACCAAGTCTTGTGATGCGCTGTGGAGAAGGTTGTTCAAGTGCCTTGTATTATTACAAAAGAGATAGCCGTTGAGGCTCTATTTATGCGCTCTAGATAGCATGAAGCTATTCTTTTAGAGCATTCCTTCATTCGTTGCTGTGTTCCGGGTCCTTTACCTTCCGGTCTTACTATTTCGGGTTCTCGCCCTTCCGGTGTCACCTTTCCACCGCTAATGGCAGAATCTCAATTGAGCGTAGCGTCGCTGTAAGGTGGCCTCATCATCACAAGTCTTTAATCACATATCCTCCTTTGGCCAAACTTGCGACACTAGGGTAGGTCGGTGCTATTGTCGCCGCGGTGGGTCATTCTATCGACGTCGATCCCTGGGTTGAGTTCCTCAATATCGTCGTAGTTCGAGAAATATAACTCGCAGCAGCTACTAAATTTGACTCGCAGAGTTAAGCCATTGCCTACACATCTTCTTGTCTGTATGAGGAAGAAGCCGTTCGGCAACAAGGTGCCGCGGAATTCCTTAAAGCTGATGTAGTGGATATTAGCTTGGATCCCTTTGGCTTTAAAACGGCACCTCCTATGCTAGATTGATCACAAACCAGACGGTTAGGTCGCGAGATTATCAGTGGCTCAACTAGCCTATAAAAAAGCAGCGAGGCCAGCGACAACTCGGTTTCTACGCAAGTTGCAGTCACGAAACAAAACCGCTGGATAAGCAACTCGAGAAGAAAAAGAGATGCTTGAACCACGCATACTCCGCTTATTTATAAGTGAGAAAATTGAATCAGTACGCACGCGAATATTCCAGAGAGCGAGGATACAGGAACTCTGCGAGCCGGAACGAATCGTCGCTGAACAAACTATCAACGGAAAAGTTGGATATCTTGTCAAATGGAAGAATTATGCGGACAGCGAAAATACATGGGAGCATCTTGAGCGCTTGAGAGACTGCGAACACCTATTGAGGAACTTTCAGCGTGTTTCGATGATCCTTCATTCAAGATCTGATAATCACAAATTTCCTGTCATTGACTAGCAATTACAAGTGGGATCACTGCCACGGAGGCTGAATGACTGCGACTGCGTTACTTCGGTAGGTTTTACGCCGGATGGGCATCTCGCGTCTGCTGTCAAACACCATGAGACGGCCACCTGATATAGCTCCCGACCTATGTGTATAACATCCTCATGAAGGTTGGTATGGCGATACAACAAGGTTAATTGAACTCTAAAGCTCTTCGTGAAGTAATTGCCTGCTAACCAAACCTCAAGGATTGGCCACATATTTGACCGGTGTGCTTCCATCCTGTCCATTGCGTTTGTGCTCTTGAAATGCTTGGCTGTAAGCCTTCTTGCGCGGAGAAACCCCGGGTCCCGCTGATCCCACTTCCATAGCGCGTTGCGAGATATACTCCAATGGCATTCTGACCCGGGAGCTTGCCACGAACTTCCACGGGCATCTACGTGTTCAAAACAAGCTGGTGATTTTGGCAATCAGCAACAGCAATCACATTTTCAAATCAAATGCAATGGAGGCGATTGCAGATTTAGACGTCAGCTCGAAGAGGAGCAACGCCGACGCGAAGAAGCTGAGAATCGCGCAAAACAGAATCGACGCCAACGCAACGAGGAATAGCACCGACGCCAAGAAGCCGAGAAATTGGCAGTAGAATCGCGTCCGCAAGCGCTTCAGCAATACCTAGAGGCTGGTCATGAGATCGATCTATAGAAAATCTCTCTACTCAGGAATTTTCTTTCGATACGTCCTCTTCTTCCAAATTCGGGCGCGGCCAAGGGAGAAAGCCCTCCGGGGCGGACACTCTGAAAGAGGCCTCTCAGCTTTGTGATGAGCTCGTGTATGAGGTAAATAGGCAATGGCAAGCTGGAATACTCCCTGATACGGCTTTCTCCCGGCATAAGAGTAAGAAATGATAAGAGGTGGCGACCTCACATTTGTAGTTAATGCCTTATGATGGTCTAGTGGGTTTGATGGTTGATTTGTTAGATAAACCAGCCTTGAGTGTCGGATCTCACGAAGATTGAGAGCAAGGTGGCATCCTTCGGCTTCACCAGATTCCGACTTGGACCCCCTCGATGTGGAAGTGCCAGAGAGAGGAGAGAGTGGACGTTGAGCTAATGGAATGAGCCCGTTGCCGCTACTGAAGGTGTTTCGAGTTCTCACTGATGGGTGGATTTGATGCGGGCGTCGGGTGGTGGATTCGCTACATATCTCAGTTTCCATTTAATTGCATCAAGCGTAATACCATCACTAAACCAGGTGTTTTTTGCGATTTATTCTGAGTTAGTGTCCTTTGAATGCTAATTACGATTTCTGGCAACGCGCGCCCGATCGGGATTAGCGTACTCCTAGAGCCTTTTGGTCTGCAGTCCAAAAGCGCGTAGTCTCTCTCCTCCTTATCCCGACCATGGCCTGAATCGATAATTATGCCGGCGACGACCGCTCGTACATCGGCTACCTGTACGAAATCACATCTGGTTGTTCACAGCAAGAGTGCATCCAGCAACTGGAAGACCAAGTGAAGTTAGCGCCACAACTCGAAACCCCAGCCTCGTGCAGGCTCAGCAATCAGTTTAACGTGGGAGCACGATGTCGCAACGATGACCAAGTATTGCCTTCCTCCGGGAACAGTCTGGGTGCTACCGAAGATCCAAAGCTACCTCCAAGTGGTGGCGAAGTCATCTTCGAATTATGGCGCCCTGCTAAGTACAAAGCCGCCGCTGAGTATGGAGTTACCACAGCGCGATGCAAGCCAGCACAATGGGAAGAACGGACGGCCATCTTCTTTCAAAGCCTTCCTACATCAGAGAACGGATGGATCAAGAAGAGAAAGGATTGACATGTCCGAGGCAGACGATATTCTAAAGGCAGTTGATGCTTTGACGTTGAACATGCCGAGCACTAGCCGGCCCCTAACCCACGCCTATGTCCGAACCTACAACAACGCCGATCGACATGTATATCAAGGCACAAGGTGGGGAGAGTTGCATTTACAGGATACGCTATGCTCTTTTGCACAGTGCGCAGGCGCTGCATGCGCTGCTATGGTGGCAGAGAAGTTTATCGGAAGATTTATCAGGAACGTATGCCAATTTTACTCCCAAATGTTCATCGCAACGTGCGATGTAGCACTGCACAAAGGGCACCCCGAGAAATTGGTGAATGCTGCCCAGCTGGTTTTCCTCCGATCAAGTCGTGAGAACCTAAGTTATATCATCAGCAATATCACTGTGAAATGCCTAAAGGAGTCTGAGATAGCGCGGAGATCCTTCAGATTGGGATTCAGTGGCAGTTCTGTGACAAGCCCCCTTTCTATTTTTGATGCAACCCGAATCTGAAAGTGTGTAGACGGTGAGGCTTTCATTGCTTGCCACCAGTCCGACGGCAGCACATCCCCTAGATCCTCAAACGTCCAGCTGAGGAAGTTCTGAGGCGAGCATGTTCGAATGTAGTCTTTCCCAGGGTAAATAAGGAAGAATTGCGTAGCAACATTGCTGCAGTTGAGCAGGTCAGTTGCCTCGCCACACTCTGAATAGGCGTGTTCTTCAGTATCATGCACTGAAACGGTGTCGATGGGACTCTCCGAGTACTCAATGTCATCGTGGTGCTCGACAATGGAGATGTCTGGTCCTTGTTGGGATTCTTGGGCATGAAGCGTGAGAAGAGCAGTGTCATTGTAGACACTCGCCGATATCAGTATAACGTCTGTATCACCTAAAGCCTGTCTGCGTATGAAATCATAGTCTGGGAAGGAGTGAAAGCCGAGCGCTAGACTACAACCAGACCAACAACTTCATACAGCGGTAGCTGCCAAAATCGTCGCTGTCCCGCTTTCATATGATGGACATGGCTGTGTCACTGCCAGCCGCAGTGCATTCGACGCGAGAAAGAAGTAAGCCCGGCGTCAACAGTTCCTTCAGTGATCTCTGTGGAGCCAATTGTCTGACAGCCAGGCTTTAATTTTGCACGACCATCAGAGAGACAGGTACAAACGGGTCATCAGCACAGTAAGAATCTTTGTTCAACAGTTCCTGGTTCGTTCATCTACTGTTGCTGCGCCACGTCGTAGGGCTGATATAGATTGCGCCAACGCCTGTCGTTGGCTGGTAGCCCACAAGTTTAAAAGCTGAGCAGCTGAAATGGCAGCCCCTACCACATCTCCCGCTACGGGCCCAATGGCAAGCTCCATCGCGCAGGTTCCCTGTTCGGCCAGTAAGATAGAAGCGCCTATTAGGCGGTCCCCTCTATCCAGTGGCTACGGCGGCAGGTCACATTAGGACTGACCTTGTCCTAGTGGCCCGAGACGGCTTGGGCGTCTTTCTCCCCTTCATCGGCTGCGGTCATGCATTCCCTCGTCCAACCACATTACCAGTGAGGGGTTAGCCTAAACAGGGAACCTGTGCGACCAGGGCTCGCTATTGGGTGCACTGTGTGGGCTGAATTCAGTGCCAAGAACCGGGTTCAGCAGCGCCGGAACGCCAGGTTAATATGTCTGTATCAGACCACTCTATTTAGGCCACCCCTGAACCTAAGGTAAACCTGTACCTCTTTCCGCATCGTCAGAATTCAGAACCTGGGATTTGACGACGACCGGTCGACCAGCTTGGACCCTAGCGATGGCCATGGACATGGCCACAGCAACAACCCCAGACACAATCGCATCGAAAACCGGAGCTCCAGATATACGAACAGCCCAAGCCGCGATCGGAGCAAGAGGTCTAGTGTCGAACTTGGGTCCTCTGACAACAACTTTCGCGCCACCAACCGACTGTAGGACACTGGGTTTGCGCAGCGCCGAACGCACCGAGCCTAATTTATGGGATCAATTCTATGCCGTATTCGGTGCAACATGTTCGGTTGACGATGCCGGAGATGCTAAGACTTTTGTTCCAGAATCGTGCTATCCATCGGCGTTTGCGGAGCACTACAACAACCCAGACAATGGCGTCCCTATTGCGTACTCGCCTGGACTGGCATGCCCCTTTGGCTACGCGACCGCCTGCACCGTGGTACGGGGCCAAAGTTATTCTGCATCACTCTTGAATTCTAGCACGGATCTTTATGGCCTCTGGGATATGCTGCAGGAGGGCGAAACCGCAGTAGCGTGCTGCCCGGCGTAAGTGGAACATTGGTCGCTTAGCCTATAAATTTGGCCATTCTGCTAATTCTTTATTTAGAGGTTACGTCTGCCGGACGGATTTCTACGGTGGTTGCGAGTCCACCGCGGCAAGTAATGAGGTTGTCACGGTTGTCTCTTACGATCCAGAATGCAAACCCTCGACATGGGTCACAGAAATTGATGACATCTGGGTCGATCTCAACGGGCCTGCTCAGATTGCCGAGGCTCCGCAAGTGGTCTTGATCCAGGGCGATGCGACCGCGACTCCGACTTCCAATGACAGCCTTGATGATGGGCCACCCGAGGATGGATCGAGCGCTGGCTTATCCCAGGACGGTATCATTGCGATTGGAGTACTCGTTCCCCTCGTGGCATTAGCCCTCTTTGCAGCGGTGGTTTTGTTCCTTAAACGGGGGAAACGATTCAAACAGCCTAATCCTAGTGGACTAGGTGGGGATGCGGTGGTGGAAGAGGAGGTACAAGGAAGCGGCACAACAGCCATTGCTAGACCACCACATGGTGTTATCGCGGTTCAGAAACCTGAGCTAGACGCAGCTTTGTCGGAGATGACATCCAGCGCTCAAAACAAAGCGGCTGAACTGCCAGGTACTCACCCGAGTGCTTTGGCTAGTGATAACGCCATAGAAGAAGGCAGACTACAGGCAAGTGGCAATCTATCTGATTGCCAGACAACGCAACTATGGGGTTGCAGCAATGGAGCAAACTACTTCTCGCCATAGTCTATAGCCAACAAGGATGGACGTTGGAAAGGAGGACAGGCTGTCGGCGGGGGACCTCCCCGAATCACTACCAATGATTGGGACGCCGAAGCACTCCTTATTATTATGAATATTATTCATGGCCACCACCGAGCTGTTCCTAAGTTCATTAGCCTGGAACTGTTAGGGAAAATCGCCGTTATCGTGGATTACTACGCATGCCACGATATCACCGAGATATGAATGAGGCGGTTCTGTTTCAAGGCCCGATATCCAGATGTCGAGGAAGATGGGAGAGAATCTATTATTTGGTTGGCTATTTCCTGGATTTTCCAACGCGAGAGCCTATTCGAGGAGACGACGGCAATAGTTATCAAGGGATGCGAAGGGCCAATTCAGACCGTGGGGCTCCCGCTTCCACAAGCATTACTCAGTGAGTAAACCGTTTGTTACAAAAAGTGCATACTTACGAATCAGCAGGTATGATAGAGAGCAAAAGAGTAATCTTGACTCTAGTCGAAGCGAGTCGAGAAGGGTGCGTCTCCGCCAGTTTCCCCTCCCGAATACCCGCCACATGCTCTAGCACCTCAATCGCCTCCGTCACTCGTCCGTTGTCCTGGTATACCCCTGATTGAGGACGCGTCAAGGTGGTTAGCTTCGCATACCCATCTTCTTGGTGCAAGAATGGTGCAAGAATGGTGCAAGAAGTGCCGGCAATGCGAGGGCAGGCTTGATGTGGGGATCTGACGATAAAAAAGAATTAAATTCGGTCAACTAGATCGTAGTGTAAGAAAGTAAGTGAGACGGCGTCGTGAGTTGTGAATTATTAGAACCTCACCCTACACATATGAAGCTGCACGTCTCGTGTGACTGCCGTCAGTGGCTTTTCCCATACGCAAACTCACCGAGGGACAAGAGCAGTCTGCACCGCGGCATCAGTACCACAGAGAATAGCCTCCAGAAGAAAATTGCAGATTGCCATCGAATTCGTATATGACGTTTATAGCTTATCGCCTGGGACTCTCGCAGACATGCTTGCCCGCCCCGCCGTCACGACCCCAAGGTCAATATTCTTGCGCTTGTTTCGGGGCTGGGGCTAGATGTAGCGGCGGCAGAGAGGCTGGAGGGGGGACGGGGGTTGTGTCGGCATAGCTAGATAGGTCGACGGAATAAACGATGGTGTTCGTCGCGCCAACCTTGAATTGGTGCATTACTTTGCTTGACGCAATTGTGTAGGCGCCTATAGTGAGATTTTGAGGAAATGAACACGTCCAGTGGGGCACCCAATAGCTATTGTAGACTCCAGTACCGCAGATAAACCTCGGTAAGCCGGCGGTGGCCATAATAATTTAGTATGAATCCCAGAAAACCCAGGCAGATTGCTCGCTCAAGCCCACTTAGCTCGGTTTAAGTCATTTGCCAGTCCAACATCATAAGAGCAAAAACCTTGGATCTGCTCAAATGGCCGGCTGCTTCTACCGTTTATAGGTCACGGCACTGCGAAATCTTCTACGGCAATACGCCCGTTCCTGGGCGCTGCCTTTTTTAACCCACGCTCCCTATAAGGTCGTGCTTGGCTTGACTTCGGCTGACTTTCTTTTGAAGCCATCTCCATGACTTCGCTTCACTTCTACCCTTTCATGCATCTGCAAAGCGAGCTCTTCCTGCTTGACCTGGTACCGCTATGGAGCGAGCGCGGTTGCTGTTCGACGGAGCCAGCTGCGCGGAGAACTGCCGGACCCGCTCCCTTGCCACCTCCTCCGCAAACTTGCTCGCTCTAGCCTCGTTGCGTGACTGATCCCCGACCTCCATGTCGCCCCTGGCGACCCAACATTGGCAACGGGATGTCTGAATAACAAGCTACCGTATGCCGTACGTGCGCTCACGGGCGAGGCCGTCCAGAAAGTCCGAGATCTAGATGCTCAGCCGATTATCGGTCAATCACATGGGGGGCGAACTAAGGCTTACACCGACCTCACGCTATTATTTAGATTTAGGTGGAGCAATAGTCGAAAAGAAAGGCTTCTGGTGCCTACAGCCCAGGCAGACAGAGCCCCCCACCCGTGGCGTCAATAGCAACGGTAAGCAACACTCCTAAGCCTATAAAGGAGATGGTCTGCAAAGGGGACTGCAAAATAAGTATAGACTAGGGACTAAGTTTCCAGATTTCGTTGCTACTCTTGCTTTGCTCGCTTGGTTGTTGTATTATTATACAAGGCAATCTCTTAGGTTCCCTTGCTTTTCAATGAAGCATGGGAAAAATTATCAAGGTGCTGAGACGCAGCAGTGGGCCCAAAAACTGCTTGTTGGTTGCTGAGCCCGTCTGCGCATATCTCAGCGCCAGAAACTTCGCTGTCGCTGAGAGAACCAGTCCTCGACCTGTCAAATGACTTCTCGTAACCACACAGCCTCCTAGACCAACTCCGCTCCTCCTCTTCTGCATCTCCAGATACCCCTAGGCAGCTTTGTGCCATCTCTTGGCCGGTGCACCCATCATGCAGCTCATGTCCTGCTTGGTCGCCCCTTTTCTCCATGTGCCGTCAATCATCCATGCATCGGGAACCTCAGTCATCCAACTCCTGTGTATCGACAATTGATGCGGCTCGTGGCAGCTACCGGCCCAAGGCTTGTGATCTGCGTGTGCGGTTTTGATCGAGAGGCACTGCTTGAACAGTCAGAACATTGGCCTGGACAGCTGTCAATTGGGGTTGCCATTGAATGGAGAGATCGTTTTGACTGCCCACACCGGGCTGGATGGGCATGTGGCGAATACTGGGTCGACCTAGGAATGCCACAGCAGCCGAGAATGAGTTCTGAAAGCGAAGGAGATAATGCAGGAGAAAATGATATTTGCTTCGCCGGCAACATAGGCGGGGCTGTAGTTCAATCATGCGAATCATCCACTTTGCCTCGGAACTCTTCAAACCCATAAATACTCTCGAAAGCAGTTCGTTAGCATGGCTAGGCCGGTCATGCTTATAGTTGACCGCTTCTCTGAGGTCGGGCGAGGAGAACGATGAGGAGGCTGCGACTTGATCAAGGGTTCAAGCGCGGGAATCATACAAAAAGCTACTCACACCCAACTGATCCTCCTACGTAGTGTGAGGAGCCTCGGGGTAGCGATGTTCGCTCACTCTTCTCTCCACTCATTCACGCCATGAAGAGCATCTAGAGTAGTTTTCAGCCTAGTATCCGAGCTTACGTGCTATCTACAAGGCCTCTCCTTTCTGTCGAGGTGTGCAGCCAACAGGAGCATGAATCTATTGATGGCATTCTATAACCGTAATGGGAGTACAATGGCGACAAAACAAGAGAACAATAGCGGGCACAATGGGGGCTCTTAGACAAGCCCGGCCAGGCTAAATAGTCCTTCTACGCTCTTTGTCCGTATATGCTAATGTTAGACTGTGCCTCTTTACTCTCACAACACCAGCCATGGTCTTTCCTCAAGCTACGATTGTCATTACAGGGTCTGGGGGAATAGGCACGAGCATCGCCCGTCGCATTGCCAACGGCCAACGCATCTTCTTGTCGGATGTTTCGCAAGTGAACCTAGACGGTGCTGCCGAGGCGTTGCGCCGAGATGGCCATACCGTGGAGGCTCACCTCGTCGACGTCTCCAAGTATGACCAGGTCAAGGCTTTCGCTGACACAGCTGCTGCCTCCGGTGTGCTACAAGCTGTCGTACACACAGCTGGCGTGTTTCCCAGCCAGTGATCGATTGCTCAAATCATGGAAGTCGACTTGCTAGGCACGGCCAATGTGCTCGATGCATTCTACGAGGTAGCCATGCCAGGTCAATCAATTGTCTGTGTAGGTAGCGGCTCTGCCCACGTCATGAAGGAAGAGGTTCCATTGGAGGTGCTTGACCATCTCGCCCCCCGCGACGCTCTACTTTCGCACCCAGCCATCCAAGCAACTGTGAACCCTCTGCTCGCGTACCAGATTGCCAAGCGAGGCAGCCTTGCGCGAGTGCAGCTGATGGCCAAAGCATTTGGCTTGAAGGGCGCACAGATCAACATCATCTCCCCTGGCATGATAGCGACAGAGAGGGGCAGGCTGGAGTTGGAAGGCGATATGTTGCGGGCGTACATTGAGATGCTCACAAAGGAGTCCGCAATGGACAGGCTTGGTACTGTGGATGATGTGTCGAACTTGGTCGAGTTCTTGGTTTCGGACCGGGCATCCTTCATCTCAGGTGCGGACATTGTCGTGGACGGTGGTGTTGCTGCAGCGCAACGTTGGAAAAGGGAATGACATGACTTTGCAGCCGGTGGAACGTTTCAGAGCTCTTTGGCAGCAAAGAGTACTCGTGCAATCTCATGACATAATGATTTGACCTTTCACAGCTCCCTGAGTCTATTTGGTTGTCCAGTGCAAGGGAGTGACTGTGACGGCCCGGGAAAATGGGCAGTCGATACTGAATTCCACTCTACGTCTTTCAGATCTTTCGAAATCCTTTTGGAGTTGAGTCCCGGCGAATTCAAGTTGGAGCATGGCTGTCACTTGCCCACTCAATTGACCTTGAGGAAGTGATATATGGTTGGATGGAAGCTCAAAAGCGGGAAGGACGATGGAGTCATTCATACATGTAAGGAGCATGTCCTATTTAGATTTGAGTTCAATGTGAGGTGATTAGAAAATCATAGCCGCCCGGATTCCGTCGATCCGGCGGTTGACCGCATCAAGGAATCAGCAAATTCTGACCGGCCTGCGCGCTCGCCTTGACGATTCGGCCGATTCCTTGCAGCACTGGCTCCAGCAAAGCCAGCGCAGCATCAAATACAGTGTGGCTCATCCACTTGCAAAAGGTAGCATCTAGCATTTCCCGCGGCCATTCTCCTCCTGTTTTCTCCATCAGCCCATCATCTAGTCGAAGACGGCATCGACAGCATCAGCTTCGAGTGGCAAGGCGCAGAGGATGGCGATGTGGAAATCGTTGCGCGAGTTGGGGCGAGGCGGTCGGTCGCTGCCGGGGCGCGTGGCCATGCTGGGAGTTGGCAAAAAGGCGACCACGCAACTCAAGAATGTCTCAAGGATCTATTCGAATGTGCTTTGCGAAGATATTGACCGTTCCCCGTACTTGTAGAAAGCAGTGTTGGTGCAGATCATCGAGGCAGAGCGGGGGCGTCGTACCAGCCTGATTCACGTCACACGATAAGGGCACAGCCAACAACAAGCGCGTATGCCGCCAATCAGGGGCTTAACCCGCCTCGCGGCGATGCTTGCGGTGTTGCATGTTGTGAATGAGCCTTCGAGACATAATGCGTTATTGCTGTGAGGCATGAAAAGTTTGCTCGATCAGTAGATGCCAACGCCGTTGTTATGTGCGCAAGCGGTGGAAAAGCGACGGATGGTGAGATACAGAAGCTCATGATGCGACAACCCCGAAACGGCCACATCTTCGATATACAAGTTTCTGGCTCTGCAGCAGTCTTCCAGCTTTCTATTTCTCTCTCGACGGCCTTGAGGCATTCTTCACCCTTTGAGAAGACCCATGTAGACATTGGGCCATGCGGGTAAGCTAGAAACTAATGAACGAAATGCGTGGCCACCCTGGGAAAGTGCAGGGTAAGTAAGTGAAGGTCACGGTTGCGGGGCCGGTAGCCTCCTTAAGCACAGCGAGGCTTTGTGACAACGCGGGGGGCGCACTGCCTGGTCATAATGTAATGATTGATATGTACGGTTCGAGAAAGCCTAGTTCTGTGAGCGACGAGGGCTACAAGATGTACACGAGTCGGGAGCCTCGATCTAAGCGTGCGCTGCCTTCTTTGGAGAAGCACCAAGCTAGCAGCGCATGAATAATAGGCAAGGGCAGCGCGGAAAATGAGTGATCTTTGCTAAAGCGCGCCCCGAGGGCTGAAAGTGAACTCGTCCTGTTCGTAGGTGAGATATCACGCGCAGCCCACGTTGCCATTGCACATATTTCGTATCACTTGTATTCTCGTCTGAACAGGAGAGCCTTGCTGAATGTCTCAAAAAAGGGAGAATGGAAAGACATCTTGGTTGCTGCGCCGTCTAGGGTAGGCTTAAGAAACATTGCCACGGCCGAGGCGCTGCGTTGGTGTCTTGCGGCTGTCTGGGCTTCCTACCGCCAACGCTCCCGTTACTGTCCCTCGTGCCCTTCCGACTCTTACTGCTGTTGCCCAACACCGGCGAGGCTTTTGGCATCGCCCACGAAGTTGCCGCTCCCGTCTATAGTGAGGCATGCGGATATCTCGACGTCAATGGGCCGTGGGTGGCCATCTCCGTCGATCATGGGAATGCCACATTCTGCCGAGCTGTTTCTGTGCATCGCTGCAGTCACAGCTTCGGCGATGGCAGCGGCCTGCTCGGCTGCCGACCCAGCAATATTGACAATGTTCGAGGCGAGACCAACAACCAGATGAATTCGGGGCTTCTGTGAGATACGCAACCTAACGCACCTGGTCCTATGAGGTTAGTCCCTCCGGCGGTAATAAATTTCATTCATTCCTTTTTCCTTCGCCATCGTGCGGGCCGTCAAACAATGGCTATAGGCTCGTTCCGAAGTAATCCGACGCGTGCGGTAGTGTGCCAAATAATGGAGCTGGCGATCACAACAATCCATGGTCTTTGCTCGCGACGCTCTCGTCACAAACTTGTACTCTCTCTGTTTCTTCAACGGCCACCATGGAAGAAGAACTCCAGAAGCTACGACAGCAACTTCGGGAAGAGCGATGCCGACGCGAAGACGAGCAACAGTTTAAGGTTCCGTCCTGTTCATGTAACACGAGTGTGGAATGAGCGGCGGAGAACTGACAATATGCGGTCGGGATCCACAGGGAGGTTGTGGAATACGATTGTATTAGGTGATCATCTACCCACGAAATAACTGGGAGTCGCAGACCGACAGTCTGAAATTGTTCCTAACTTTGAACTCTCATAAGGCAAGGCCGAGGTTGCGATACTCATGTTGACTCTCTCCACTCGGCGCCTCAGCATCGAGTGTATCCGTCCCACGGTCGCCATGAGGGTTATCCTTCTTTTCCGATTTCTCCCAGCTCGCCACTCCCCTGTCATTGTCATGATGTTGCGTGCTCTCCTCGGGGGCACCCACGGGCTGGAGCTCAAGACGCTCGTCGAAGCAATCATTCCGTTGGCGGGCAATCTGTCGTTGATATATCAGCCACGCTGCCTGCCCTTCAGCAAATGTCTGCTGTGCTGTTGCGACGGTGAACAAACACAGGGCAACTAGACAGAGGCAATAGAGGACATCAACTCCGGTAACACCTTGGCCTATGATGAGAGGGCTTCTCCCTAGAATAAGAGAGCCCGAGAGGTATAGTAGAAACGACGCGAGAGAAACACCACACCGCAGACCGTAGCTGTAAGCCGGGGCGTAGATACTGGTCATATGATTAGCAGTGCACACGACTTGGATCGGGACCCATACACAGCGCCGTGCGGAAAGATCATCTCTAGAAAGAGGCGTACCAGGCTGATAGATCCAGCGGCGATCACAATGCAAGCCCAGGACACGAGAAGACGGCATTCCGCGTGGTAGCGACCTGGCTTGTTCTCAAATCCGACGTTCGGCTCCCAAGGCTCGGAGGCGCCCTTGATATACGACATATCACAAGTCCTATCATTGGTGCTAGATGTAGAGATAGAGAGTTAAATATGTTAGCGGATGGAACCTGGACTCGTGACGTACTCGTTTTGGAGGTCTTCCCTCAGCACGTCGCCAAAGGCGATGGCTAGGGTGCCGCCGAAAAACATGATCACCGTGGTGATCCTGCTGACAAGCAGATGGATTTCGAGCCATCTTGGCATTCCCCTCGTAGCAACATGACGACTAGATGGCGCCATGAGAGCATGAAGTGGTGGTTGGTCCAACGGTACTGAATTTTCTGGCCCGAGTTATAGCTGTCTTGTAGTGTGAGGCGAGCCTTGAATTGTGCCGCTCGTGAGATATCACATGGCTGTGGGCCGTGATCTTCGGCCGAGGCGTTCTCATAGAAGAAGGGTGTCACCGAGAAACATGGAGATGCAGCCAAATTATTATAGCGGCGGTTTTGTGGGTGTTGATCCCGTGCAGGCACAACGCAGCCTCATTCGCCCACTGCGCAGAGTGCGCGCTGTCTTGGCATTGAAGGGCTGAGCGCCCATCCCCGGCTGTGTGGCTTGTCGGCTGACAGAGGAAATTGGGTTCAACTCCAGACAGACCCGCTAGATCAGCCTTACTAGTCACGCCTCCGCGGATGACGTTGCTAGTGCGTTGGGGCTGTTCCCCCGGCCAAGGCGGATAGATGCTAAAAGGAAGAGAGGGCAGAGTATGATCAACATTTACTTAAACATCTAGAGGGCAAAGAAAACAAATTGCTCCAGCTTCGGCGCTCAACAGTCACGCACGACATACCGAAACACGTTGCATCGACTTGCGACTGTAATTGATCGGTTCAGCTGGTTTCGCATAGAGGGCCTCATTCGGCTGTGCGGGCGACGAGACAGTCAGGGGTTTGCATCGTTGCAATCCTTTCTTGGGCTGGAGTCTGTTCGTATAACTGAAAGGTTGACTTCATCACACTGCCTCTATTGCCCGAGTAGCATCTGCCAGGGTCCCTGAAGAACAACTATCTGTGCGCGTCTTCGGCATATTCGCTCGTATCTGCGCTCGTATCTGCTCTCGTATGTAGTTGAACAACACCAATCGAGGACACTATCTTCACAAAAAGTCAGCTTCCGTGCTGCCACTTCAGCCTTCATTTTCTTCACGATCCCATATGTCACTTCTTTCCCTGTCGCAAATACTCTCCATCTCGCTATACAAATGTCAAGCGTCAAAACCATCGGGCAAGCCCTCTTGCCATTGTGCCTTCTGCACACCGCGACAGCCGACAATGTCAAACTGGACTCAACACGCGTAAACTCCGGTCCGCTGACGAAGACGTTCACACCTCCTTCGACTTGTCTGGAAGAATTCATAACCACAACTAGTGGTCCCTTCACTGAGCTGAGGCTTGGATGCCAAGGGCCTGCTGGCGACGAGTGCTGTCCGACGGGATGGGCATCAAACCGCTATTTTAGCCCCGGCGTCTGTCCACTCGGCTACCAGGCCTGCACGCTGCCGACGACGACACAAAGGGACGAGACGACCAACCTGTGCTGCCCTTCGTATGTACCATCCGCGGGTCATGAAATTGTCCCTCTCATACAGTCCCTCTATGGAACGCTTGCTGACCTGCGTCTATCTCCGATAGCGGCTTCGACTGCGTAACGGACCTCCATTATGCTACATGCCACAGCCTGCTCCAAACGCCGGAGCCGTTCCCGTACAGCTGGAATGGTACCACCGGAACATTAACAGTTACTTGGGTTACCGCAACCGCAATCCAAATCAGGTTCAAGGCGTCAGACAGCGACATCGTTCCCATTCCGACGGCGTCATTCAGCCTACCGGGCAAACCGATGAGCATGGGAGTCAAAGCTGGAATCGGGGTCGGGGCCACCGTCGGTACCATAGCTCTCCTTGTGGGACTATGCTGTGGGATTCGCAAGTATAGATCTCGACGACAGCGGGCTGGTGGCATGATTTCATCAACACAGGGCCCGTCGCTGCTGGACAGTCCCTCCGAAGTCCCGCTTGGAACGTACCCCGACGACAACCAGGCTCCTCCGCTCTATACAAGAAAATAGTTCTTTCAGCAAGTCGAAGACACGATGCCCTCCCTGAGCCCAAAGGTCCGACACAAAGGCGGGCTAACACAAAGAAGAGCAGCAGGAGAGGGCAACGCCAATCTACAGCAAGAAACCAACGTTGGAACTTGTTAATGCCGCCAAACTTGGCTCCTCTCGGGTCTTCGCCAGCCGGGAGCTGGTCATACGGACTGATTCGGGTTTTATCAAGTCCCATCAACCCCCTATCACGGCGAGCCCAAGACCGCTTCACACATATACCCGGCGTCTGCGAGCTTGGACTCGACTTTGCCGGTTTTCCGATATGAATCGGTTTGCGGGCTCGATTTCGTAGACCTGGGGAGTGATCATGCTGAGAGCGCGTGAACTGCTGTGGTGTCGCCTCAGGATCTTGGATCTGCACAGCTTGTCAGTAGTCCCGATGACTGTTTTCAATTTCATTCCTCCTACCACTTTGTTTACGTTAAAAGGACGCCAGCCACGCGGGCGGCATACTCTGACTCTCCATTCGTGGTGTGTTGGCTCCCAGTAGCCAGCAAACATGGGTACATTCGCCTTCAACCCCAGCTGGCAGCCTTTGTTGAGCCAACTAGGTCCACTTTTGCGTGCTGTCGACTTTTCCTTCTCCTCGTCCGTCATTTTTGTCTTCACTTTCGCCCTGGTACGAGCCATTGTAGGAGCCAAGGTAGCAACGAATATGGCCGGCATGATTTCGACAAGCGATGTTGACGTCGGTGCTAGTAAATATTCAACACGGATAAATCCCTTATCGAGGTATTCAAGGAGGGGTTTTCGAAGGACAAGGAGCTCTTCGCGGGTCATATTGAATAACGGTCCCCACGGAGGGCTGTTTCTCATCCCAAGCTGTTTACGATTAACCTCTGCCTGGAGAGCATTTCCCGTTGCTATGGGCGAAGCATATAGCCCCAGCCAGTGGCTTGCATCCGAGGACTATGAATTTGGCGTTTCATCTCCCGCTCATGTCATCGATGCGTCTAGCAAGCCCAAGGCATTGTGCGTGTTGTACAATCTTTTCTAACAGGCGTTCATTCAGACCAAACACTCGATCTGGCCTCCATTCGGGGAAGAGACATGACAAGAATGCCACTGCTGCTGGGCCTCGCCGAGTAATAGCTTCATTGTGCTTGTTGAACCAGGCTTGAATGATAAGCGTTTTGCGCCCTTGGCTATTGCCAATGCTCGATGACTTCTTAGCGTTGCTCTCAAGGCTTTCGAACAGGTCAGAGAGCAATCTAAAGGGGAACGGCATGATTGAAAGAGACAGAATAAGAAAAGGCCAATGCCAGTGAAAACAAGAAAGGGGGAATGCCAGCTTCTATACTGCATAGATCTGGGCAGACTACTCATCGATGAGTGAAAAGGCTCTCTTACTTGGCAGTCCTTGCCGCCGAGCGTTTTGTGATGAAAAGTACTCATGATGAATCGCCCATCGAAAGGCTCCACGTTTTACTAGGACCATCGAGTGCCCATCTGCCACCGTGAGCTAGTATGCCGGGTGAGGGAGGGCCCTGATTCGACCATACGCTGGCCGAGGTTCATGAATGTAGATCTTCTGAGCTGCGCCCGGGCAGCACAAGCGTTTGACAGGGACTCCGCAGCCAGACTACATTTGGGCATTAGACCAGCTGCGCTTCATCTATGAGTATTGCGGCGCAAGGCTTCCAACAGTGATCCTTACGGACCGCTGCCTTGCGTATATGAATGCAGTATCAGCCGAGGCGACGTGTATGTTTGGTTCTCCTTCAGGTGCACCTAAGCTCACTGGTACCATTGGTGAGCATAGCACCATAACGCTCTGCCAGAGTTGCTGGAACGGGGATGAAGCCGGGTACTCATACTGTGGCATTCTTTAGGACGGCGTCCCCTCTGTTAAAAGACCTTGCTCTACCCTCGCCAAGTACTGCATGATGACACGTTCCACGCTCGATCAATGCTACACGCCCCCGGTGGCATCTCGTTGTCGATGCAGCTTGCGGTGAGCGCGAAGGTTCTCCAATCTTACGAAACAATGGCCGCACAGCATGCAAAAATACCTGGGTGGGTTTGTACTGTGCTTCCTGCCAGGCATTAGTCCTTTCAGTGTCTGAAGAAGGTCTAGACAGGGTTACCCCCTCATTGATGTGTCTTCTCACATGTTCTGCACGCGAGTAGCTTTTCGGACAGCGCGAAAAATTGCAATAGAAGCGCTTTCGAACAGTCTCACTGCTGACTTTGGCGATTTTATCCTTGGGGAACTCACACAATACCGGTGCCTTGTCTGATGTAAATTGTGCACTATGCACCATGTGAGAGTCACGATCGAGCTGTGATTCGCCCGCCCAACAGTCGGAAGTCAGCCAGGAGACGTCATCCCACCAATTCGTACCCAGATGTGTGCCGAACAGCCAAAATTCTGTCTCGGAGGGGGAAAGGTTTGCGTCAATTTGCGCCATGGAGCTCTTTGTCGCAGATACGGAAGCCCGAGTCGCAGCACGCCCACTCCATTATTACTTCCTTGTTACATATACACATCGGATGACCCTGGCCGCTTTCGCCCTGCATTAACCACGGCATTCTGCACTCGGTCTTGAAAGTGGACGCAGGTTCTCCGCTAGTAAGTATGTCTACTTCTATGCTCGACGCCCAGATGTGGTCATTATATTGTATCAGTCGGCCATCAGCGATACTATAGCATTCTCTCCTCGTGCCGTTACTTTCGTCCATATGGCTAGCGGCTTCATCTAGCCCGTCCAAGATGGTAGGAGATCTCCACCATAATGCCGCTCTCGTTCGGACCGGGGCGGTGCGCTTCCGACTCTACAAGTATGGTCGTGCATGTCCCGGCCTGGTTGGAGGGGAATAGCTGTCAATATGCTCCAGTGCCTCCAATAGCCATACGCGCCGTTCACGAGCCTAGCGGCTGGAAACCGGGCGAAAATGAGGGCGCAGTGTCCGCCAAGTGCTCTGAGACAAGCGAAAATCCACAAGGCGGAGGGACAGCTGCAAGTATCGGCGGATTTCGTGGCCAATCTTGCCAGGCAAGACAACGAGCGGTCAGAGGTGGTGCAAGAGAGCGAGAGGGCTGTGGACCTGGCCCACGCTCGTTTCAAACAATCTGTGCTGGAGATTGTCGAAGCAATGAATACATTCATGAGGCCTTGACTGCGGGGACCGCAAGGCAGGCGATGGGACAATGGTGCCGGCTCCAGGTGGTGTGGGAGCTCGTCGGGCGCGATTGGACAGGCTGCGGGAACGCGACTTGTGTTATAGAGGGACAATAGCGAGCACATTGCCGTATTGGGGCTTCAATAGACAATACTCAGACAACAAAACTAAAGATATTCAAGATTGATGTACAGTGCGGCGTTCGAATAAAGAGTCAAAACCCACCGCTCGCAGCATCCAGCTCAGCTCCCTAGAGAAAGACCAATCTTGCGAACCTATCCGATTCACAACGACGCGTCTGCGCTACTATGCAAACCACGATGGCGAACCACGTCCCACCACCATACTCAGGCCAGCCACGACGATACCCTGGGCCAGTCAGCGCCGTCGTCGCACCCCAGGCGGCTCTAGCCAACAACGACTACGCGTTTCGCATTTGCATTGACACGTCCACAACTATCCGCCAGGACAAGAACATTGTCAATATTGCTGGGTCGGCAGCCGAGCAGGCCGCTGCCATCGCCGAAGCTGTGACTGCAGCGATGCACAGAAACAGCTCGGCAGAATGTGGTATTCCCATGATCGACGGAGATGGCCACCCACGGCCCATTGACGTCGAGATATCCGCATGCCTCACTATAGACGGGAGCGGCAACTTCGTGGGCGATGCCAAAAGCCTCGCCGGTGTTGGGCAACAGCAGTAAGAGTCGGAAGGGCACGAGGGACAGTAACGGGAGCGTTGGCGGTAGGAAGCCCAGACAGCCGCAAGACACCAACGCAGCGCCTCGGCCGTGGCAATGTTTCTTAAGCCTACCCTAGACGGCGCAGCAACCAAGATGTCTTTCCATTCTCCCTTTTTTGAGACATTCAGCAAGGCTCTGCTGTTCAGACGAAAACATAAGTAATACGAATATACCCCCACGACGAACTCTTCGTGACCGTGGAAGCCGACTACCACCGGCGTCTACTGCAACCGCGTTCGGGAATACAACCTTTCTAATTCAGAGCCGCTTCTACCGTTGAAAGCACAAAATCTGCTTTTAACCACTGCACAAAGGTGCTCAGAAGATACATGTTTTGACTTTGCTCAGGCAACACAGAAAGATCTGCTTAAAAAAATGATTGGGATTGTCCGGAGTCGCCAGCTTGAGGAGGCATCCGTGATAGTATGCGAGACTTTTTGAATAGAGGGGTTATCAAACGCCGCCGTAACATGTGCAGAGAATATCGCTCTGCTGCTTCAGACCTCTTGGCAAAGAACGGTCAGAAGTGGATGTAGTCGACGGCGCTGTTTAGGGGTAGCGTACTACAAAGGTACTGATCCATTGCTCTCAAGGCCTCCGAGGCCATCCCGTCCTCTAGCAAGTGGTCAATTGGAGCAGCGAAATTACGCAGATCGACACCCGCCTTTAGTCGACCGACATGGACATCCAGTTCTTGCAATTTATGCGTTAAAGTTTGTCCTGTTTTACGAGAGAAGGTTGGTAGCGAAATCAGGTGAAATAGAGAGCCACCTATTCTTCAGCCAGGTTAGTTCCAAATATGATAGCATGCCTGATCACCGACAATAGGCTGACCACGTTTCTTCCCAGTCGCGCAAGGGGCCGTCCGATATGGATACGCACTCAAGATCCAGCCCGCAGGGGCACGAGACACCCTCTCCCTCTGGCGGAGCTAGCCCGACCGGCGAAGACGATTCGAATCGGGTGGATTTCGCTCAAGGCCGAGTTCTGTAGGTCTCGTCTGATTACTGTGGGTTTGGCTAGCTGATCATTGACTGCGTCTACTACAGATATATATTTGAACAAAACTCGCAGTTCAACAGGGCTATACTCCTGCTGCTGTATGGGTTCTGTATTCGTCTACATCATGAAGACTACGCCTATATTCGCGCTTTCATAGAGCGACATTTGAGCTTGCGATGCGTTTTGCAACGGCCGTATCATTGGCAACAGAAATCTACGCCGGAGTTGAGCTCTGTAAGTTGATGTCCGATTCACCTCTATTCTTCCGCTTTATTCAGGTGAACATGATATGGATTGTCCTGATGCTCACAAGGGTTCTAGTCGAGACAGAAATGCTATAGGAGGGTCACGGTCTCTTTTCACATGACTTATCTAACGCTTGACGCCAACGAAATGGATGGAGCGAGAGATGTATTTGACCGAGCTTCACTATTTCCATTCATCCACAAACCAGGAATCGGGAAACAGAAAGGGAAATATATTTTCCAGGCTTCCGCTTCGGTGCTGCTCACACTTACAGTCCCGGAAGAATCAGAGTCCCATGAAGAAGAACTCAGTCTGTTGCAACATCCGCAAGCCCTGTGGGTCGTCCTTGTTATCAACGCTCAGCGACAGTTCGTCTTCGAAAACAGACCTGCACAGCACTCCACACCCATTGCCCAGTTTATTCGTGGCGTTAGGTCGTCACTATACTCGCAAAGAATGCACGCGCAATCTATATACAATGCTTTGAGTGAGGCACTGAAAACCTGCGATAACGGATGTCTCTTCGATGACGAGAACTTCTCGAAATCAACGTTATACCACTTCGCCATTAAGGCGTGCGATGAACTGGAGGCATCGATAGCTTCGAGTCTGGTATTCATGCGGAGAACGCTGAATAACTATGTCACCCGACTGTGCAAAGAGGCTCATCCTTGTGAGCAGACTGGAATAGGCTATTGGTCACAGAAAATGGAAGAGGAAACAATCGCACTGGAAGATTTGGAGGCTCAAATACACAAATTAGGTTCGCAAGCCCGAGAGAGTGTAAGAAAACCCAGCCTCATGACAATACTGATTATCGGGCGTTTCTAACACAAAATTCAGCGCAACGCTGTAAGAATCCCACAGGCTCTTTAATCACCAAATCTGCAACTAATACACGTAGCTCAACGGAGTCACCGCAGTACTGGAAGCTCGGGCAGCCTTACAGCAAGGAGAACGTATGAAATCTCTAGCATATCTTGCGACGATATATCTGCCACTAACGGCAGCTGCGGTAAGTATTTGGCATTTGTCAGTCAATTGATGTATTGCTGACAACGGTGTGCCAGTCGCTGTATAGCATGAGTGTTCTTCCCGAATCCGCATCGTTCGCGTCGTTCCTCATCTTCTTCGCGATATTGTTCTTCTTCACTATACTGCTGGGACTGAACCTGTCAGTACTGTCGGCTCTTCCTGCGAAAACGGCCCGTTACTTTCGAAGACGGTCGTTTGCAAAACGTCAGCGAGATCTATCGCCTACGCTTCCCTCATGGATGGAGAACTACATCAACGCGTATATATCTCTTCTCGACCGGTCTAGCAACGTCTGTGTCATCGGCTTTGATTATGGACTAACATCAAGACCAAATGGCTTCCTCTGGTGGATACCTTACCTTCTCTATCGGTTCATGTTTTTCGTTTTTCGAACATTGCCAGCTCTTGTGTTGCGCCACTGCTTGATCCCAGAAATCCTGTATCCTCGATACCAGTGGCTTCTGTTCCAGTTCAGGCACAACCGATACGTCACCATCGTATTTCATCCCGCTCTTTTCGTGATAGATGCCATTCGGTTTAGCCTTGTTCCGGCCTGGGTTGTCCTGGCCGCCTGCATCATATGTTATCTCGTTCTACAGGACGCGTTCATTGGGATCTTCAAGTTATTGGCATGGCTGCTGAAGCAGAAGCCACATGTACTACGAATGGAGGAGGAGCTTGGGTAGATTTCAATGGAATGCGACGGGCTAGAAAGACAGCTTCCGCCTAGACAACACTGTGACTGACATAGCTTCAAGCCTCGCAAGCCCCTCTGAAACACCAGGCCATCGAGGGTGCCCAACACCTCCTCGAGAAGCGGCGAAAGTCGGGCAAAAAGGAATAGTCAGAACATTGGCCTGGACAGCTGTCAATTGGGGTAGCTATTGAATGGGGGCCGTCAGGGGTGGCTTTGTACAGGGGAGTTGGCGATCCATGGTTGGAGACCCACCACTGTCGGCCATTTCTTGCTGTCGTGGATCTCTGTTCAGCACGATCTCCACCACGCTTCATCCATGTAAGCCAATCGCACCAACACCCCCCTCCGAATATGGAAATTTTAAGAAGCACCCTAGTCCGACTGTTAATGATGGACGCAAAGGCGGACATGCACGGCCGTTGTTCAAGGTTTCCTTCTCGTGGGGGTTATGCCAACTTACACCCCAACAGACGCCTGCCACCCCTCTGCCTCTTTGTCTGGGTTAGACAATGCATTGAAAGGTGCAATGTTCTTTGTCTACCGAGTTCGGCTGTTGTGCGTTATCAGGGTCTTGGGAAAGATGGTATTCGGCCGTCTTGTGACCCCGCATCGAGTGATGCCGTCGTGCAATAGCATTGGTCAGCGGATCGCTGATGGCACGGCCACTACGCGCCACGTTCGTGGTTGGCTATCACCAGCGAAATGGGCGTCCCGGGCGGACACAACCCAGTAGTAACCAGCAGCCCACGGGTCAATCCTCACTCGCTCTGCTTTGACGAGGAGTCCGTCTCCAGGAGCGCCTGTTGCAATGCGAAGTGGCACGCAAAGACGCGCCTGCGATCGGACAACGCGATGGCCCGAGGAATCCGAACCCTCTCAACACGCGGTGGATGCGCGAGGGGAAGCTCTGCATTACTCGGTGTAGTCGGAAGCGTGATGTGGCCTACGTGCGTAGATGCTGTAAGCGGCGGTTTGGTTCTTCGTATGTGGCCTAGCCTGATGGGGGCATTGAAGACCTTTTATGATACGTGCGACCATTTCACCCCGTACAGACCCTTTGTCTAATTTTGCCCAGAGTCCGTAAGGATGCTAGGTCTAGCCTGAATTAGACGACGTATCCATTGCGAGACCAGTGCGAGCGGCTTTGATAGGTTGCACCTGATCGTTTCCACGAAGCTGGCACCATAGCATAGACCTCAATTCAGGGGTCATAAGGAGTGTGTCTGTGAATGGTTGCCAGGCGCGGCCAATTGACTAATGCTGTACTACATGTCGCTCCGACGTCGGCGTCCTACCCCACCTTGTGCTCATGGGGCCGTGCTAGTCCTGTTGGAAAGAACATGGTACGTTCTTTCCACCATGATTCCACTCTCGTTCATGCCTTGGTGGTGTGCCTCGGGGTCTACGATTATGGTTGTCCGTGTCCCAGGCTGGTTCGAGTGCACAGCTTTTGATGTGCTCCCGTGCCTTCGATGCCCGTCCAGGTCGTTCGTCTTAGTTCGCACGGACTCGCCCAGCCGGGGGAACCCCTTGACCAGGAGCTGCCGCACAGCCGGGAAACAGGCGCACATCAAGCCCACCGCATCTCACAAGGCAGCCTCGAATTACCCTTCCTACCCAACGTGCTCATAGGATGCACCTTGGAATGCGCACGCCAATATTGTTTGGCACCCGAGGACGAACTGCTGTGCGCACGAAGACTCGTGTTACTGAACTCTGAACTGTATTCCTACTCGGTTGTAGCCGCTAATTTAACCGCAGCCATGCCCGGTGAGCGGGGCCTGGCAGGCAGCCGACGCGGCCGGATTAACCTCCGGCCGCCCCACTTCGCCAGTGCAATGTAAACAAAGCCCCGACCAGCTGCCCCCAGAATTCCCGCTTTAGAGCGTGGTTCTTTACTAATATGCAGTCTGTCTAGGCTCCGTCGAAGCGACTCGCCTCATGTCTTGGGTCTGCATACCTACAGTCTCCCCCCAATGCTTAGCTTTGTCTGGTTTGGGACTCGATCCTAAAATGCCCAAGGATCCCCGTCAGTTCTATGAACTTGATGGCTTTTGCGGCTGCCTTGCGCTCGCTCAATATGTCCCGGAGGTCGTGTCGTCCGGAGAGGTGGCCTAGTTCCTGGTGTCGGAGTTGTCGATACTTGCGGCATCGCAGCAGGACGTGCGATACCGTTTGGCGTCCTTCCCGGCATGGGCAATTGGCAAGACTCGTGTTACGACCCAACATGCGACCACATGCGCCGCCAAGCAGCCCGCACGTGACATGACGCATTATCCACTATTTTCCACCAAAGACAGCCTTTGCGCTTGGTGCCGCCCTTGCCACCGTTGTTGCAGTCTTTGAAATTGTCATACTATAAAAAATCTTGCTGTTCATGGAATGTGCATCCCTTAATCCAAAAGTGACAACGTTGTCACCTTCGTACAGAGACGTGATGTTCAGATGTCGGTTCCTGGATTATTCGCGATTGGGACCATAGCCGGCGGCTTCCTTGGCTGCTTGATCAGCTGCTGAGACCACAATCTCGTTTCCTTTCGTTCTCTCCGTCAAGCTACATCAATAAGCCACCCATCACCACGCACTCACCCCCTCCCCCAGGTGTGGCCCTCCACCACAAAGCACCGCACGCCCCCGGTTACCGTTCCAATACCGGCTGCTTGACCACGTCATCATGGAACGGCACCCGCTGTATGCGTCTCCAAGCCCTGGGTCATCGCATACACCCCTCGAACCCGACTTTCAACCCTCCTCGCTGTGGCATCCAGATTCATGTCAGTATGTCAGGCTCAGGAAGTGGAAGACCAGCAGGGCTGGGCTTGTTGAGAGCCTTTATATGTGAGAAGCCGCCTAGAACGCTGCTGTTAGTCGTCGCAACAGTGAATCTCGGCCAGCGTATGCTCGAATCAGGGCCCTCCCTCATCCGGCATACTAGCTCACAGTGGCATATGGGCACTCGATGGTCCCAGTAAATGTGGAGCCTTTCGATGGTCGATTCATCATGGGCACTGTTCTTCACAAAACGTTCGGCGATAAGGACTGCCAAGTAAGAGAGCCTTTTGATTCATCAATGAGTAGTCTACCCAGATCTATGCAGTATAGAAGCTGACATCCCCCCTTTCGTCTTTTCAATGTCATCAGAATTTTCTTCTGTCTCTTTCAATCATGCCGTTCCCGTTCAGATTGCTCTCTGACCTTTTCGAAAGCCTCGAGAGCAACGCTAAGAAGTCATCGAGGCTTGGCAATAGCCAAGGGCGCGAAACGCTTATCATTCAAGCCTGGTTCAACAAGCACAATGAAGCTATTCCTCGGCGAGGCCCACCAGCAGTGGCATTCTTGTCATGCCTCTTCCCCGAACGGAGGCCAGATCGAGTGTTTGGTCTGCAGGAACGCCTGTTAGAAAAGGTTGTACAACGCGCACAATGCCTTGGACTATCCCGAATGGAGCATCTCCAAAGATGCAGAACCGTTGGCGGTTTAGACTTTGCAAGCTCAGTCGAGCGCGTGATGGCTGTAACAGACTGTGAATCAAGACCCAGCCAAGAGGTATCTCTGGAGGAGCTCGACGATATTCTCGACCAGGTTGCAGCGTCATCACCTTTTTCTGCCGATAGCCTTCGACAAAGAGTTACATCAAAGCATGGCCGATTGATGACCGCAGATGCCTTGCTCACGAAAGTGTTCCGAGTCCTGCGAAGCTCCGAGGCCAAATGGACGATTCGGATGCTATCAAAAAATTATAGCCCAGTCTGCGTTCCAGAGACGCTAGTCATGAGCAGATTTCATGTTCTCCTGCCTGGTCTCCTGCGCTTCCAGAATTCGATCCCAGCAACTGTGGGGCTCCTCGACAAGCCGAGTATTCGGAACATGTCTATCCAGCCTTCTGTGGCTTGTGGCAAGCTTTTGGAAGTCACTAGAAGAGAATTCGTGCCGCAGGTTGGTATAATGACTGGGCGTACGGCATATGAAAAGGCAAGGAGCATCAGACACTGTTGCCAGTTGGCTGGGTCGAGACGGATGAGCGTGGAGAGAAAGTACGACGGAGAATATTGCCAAATTCATATCGACCTTCAAAAACCAGGAGCCAACATTCGAATTTTCTCCAAGAGTGGAAGAGACTCGACAAATGACCGTATTGGAATCCATCAGGCACTGCGGGACAGCCTTGAGCTTGGCACAACAGGCTGCAAGATCCAGAAGCGGTCCATCCTTGAGGGCGAGCTACTGGTATGGAACGGCGACGGCGAAAGAATCGAGCCATTCCACCAAATCCGCAGGCACGTAAAACGATCTGGCCGGTGTATTGGAACTGCCGGAGATTCGCCCATCGGAGCGAGGGAGCATCTAATGATCATGTTCTACGATATTCTATTACTGGACAATATTGTCTGCGGCTTGGAGTCTCATGATGAACGGAGACGGCTGCTACAATCTCTGGTTCGTCATATTCCAGGCCGTGCTGGCATCGGTTCCCGCGAGATTATCGACTTCTCCTCTGTTGATGCCGAAGAACGACTCAGTGACGCATTCGCTCGAGCCATCACCCAGCGATGGGAAGGGTTTGTACTCAAAGGTTGCGACGGCCCCTACTTCTCATTCTGTGGACATGAATCATATATCAAGCTCAAGAAGGATTACATTCCGGGCCTGGGTGACACCGCAGACTTCGTTCTTATTGGCGGACGCCGCGACGCGACTGACGAGTTCGAACTTGACGTCGGGAAGTTATGGTGGACGTCATTCTATATCGGCTGCATTGAAAATAAGGACGAAGTGCGCCGCTTCGATGCGAAGCCGAGATTCCGCATGATTGATGTAGTTGACAGACATGGCATCTCGAAAGAGAACATCACATACCTCAATCGACATGGCTACTTCGGCCGGGTACCATTCACCGCCTCTATGGAGGAGTTCGATGTCTTCGTCGAGCCCGCACGAAAATTGCAGCCTGTGGACCTATTCAAGTATCCGTTCATGGTAGAAGTGGTCGGGGCTGGCTTTGATAAGCCCGCGAACACTGGGTACTATGCTCTGCGATTTCCACGAGTATTGAAAATTCACGAGGACCGCTCACTTCAGGATGCCGTCAGCTTTGAGGAGCTGCAGGAAATGGCCCAAAGCTGCCTTAGGATACCTGAAAATGGAGGACAGGAGGAGCAACGTTGGTCTAGGAGGCTGCGTGGTTTTGAGACCATGTTTGACAGGTCGAGGACTGCCTCTCCCAGCGACAGCGAATTGTCTGGCGCAGGTATATGTGCAGACAGTCTCGTCAACCGGCAAGAGATTCTGGTGCCAGTTGCTGCCTCTCAGCAGCTTGATAATGTTCCTCAAAGTTTATCAAAAAGGAAGGTTGGTCAGGAGATTGCCTTGTATGGTAGTACCACCAACAAGCGAGTAAAGCAAGAGTAAGTAATGGAAATACAAAAACTCCTCTCCAAGTCTATATGCCTTTCGCAGTCTTCGTTTCCAACCATAGCTGATTCGACCAAGACTTAAGATTGTCTTCAGCATTCGAGACGGGGTTGATCCCAGCTTCTGAGCAGCGTCATGTCGCTCACGGAGTCTTTCGACCTGAAATGCAAGCACGGCAAAATCTCCCACGGGCATGTACGTGTTCAAAACAAGCTGGTGACTTTGGCAATCAGGAACAGCAATCACGTTTTCAAATCAAATGCAATGGAGGCGATTGCAGATTTAGACGTCAGCTCGAAGAGGAGCAACGCCGACGCGAAGAAGCTGAGAATCGCGCAAAACAGAATGAACGCCAACGCAACGAGGAATAGCACCGACGCCAAGAAGCCGAGAATTTGGCAGTAGGATCGTGTCCGCAAGCGCTTCAGCAATACTTAGAGGCTTGTCATGAGATCGATCTTGCTGCCGAAGTGATTATGAAAATTATCGAGCAGCAATGTTTGATATCAGCCAAAACGTAATCCAATTACACTACAAACCTTTGTAGATATTCTAAAAGCTTCTTCAACATGATCTCCCCAGTCCTCCAGCCTTATGTGAGCTTGCACCGCACGGTGGCCCATGTACTTTCAACGTGTCCAAGTGTCTAACACTGAGCGAAGCAATTTGATGCAGCGCATCTGGTTGCCCACGGGAAAGGTGAGCAGCCAGTTCCCCCCGCGGTATTCAGGGTATTCAGCAAGCGAGGCACCACCCAGCTCTCGCAGCGCCCTGTCGTACGCCTCCAAGTCTTGTCCATATGTACTAACGCCAATCGATTTTCTAAGCATCAGGCCACTCTTATAGTATTCCCACACTAGCTCTCCGTGGTCTCCGATGACTTCGTCGTGATGAGTGGTGGTATAGAGCAGGTTGTGGATATTGAGCACCAATTTTTGTTCCGGGAAGCGAATCTCGGCTTTGCTCACGTCAATTTGGCAAGGCTTCCGCAACGCTCGTGTGAGGTATTCCCAGTACCGTTGACTGAGACGAGTGTTGCTGCTCTGATTCGTCACCACTAGAGCGTGGTAACCATCGTATCCACAAAGTATAGTAAAATAGATAGACTTCTGACCAGCTGCATCAAAGGGCTGATGGTGTTCGAAAAATTTGTTCCAAAGCTGTGTGGTTTCTGGATCAGGCCCGTGAACAAAATTCTCGGACTCCATCCTGTCATAAGATGCACCATCGAGGATGTCTGCTCGACGAAGTACATTATATGTGCTTCTGAACGGTAGAATCCGGCTGAGGTCACACGAAATGAGCGAGACTGCTCAAGTTGGCAGGATTCGGGACTGGGGCCGAAGGCGAAACTTGATCTACAAGGGCCAGGATCAGGAGCCGCGGACAGGTTCCGTAGAATGCGTAGTGGACGTCCACAATTGACCGCCGACAAATGTGCTGCTGCAGTAGGCTCTATACTTGCCGTCTACTAAGCCACGGGGCTGCCCAACCTTCAAGATTTGCGTCGACTCACTCCCTTGGCAGCTGCGTACACGTGTCGTCCCCAGTGCCGCTTGCCATATCCGAGCCAGCGTGTCAATGTACGCTTGAACGTAAGAGTTATGGCTGAGACAGAGTATAATGAGGAGGTAAGCGCGCTCCCAGTAATATCAGTATCACGCCTTGTAAGGGATCGTATTTCCAGAAGGGAGGTTGTCAATTATCTCGCTTTAGAATATTAGTAACGTGATGGTGTAGGGCGGCCTAAATCTGCTCAAGGAGGCTAGCCAGATACGAGAGCGTGTATCCTGATATGTACAGTACTATCTATTATCTGGGCGATGGCCCTGCCTCGCTAGTTTGCCTTCATCTGGGATCTGCCGACCGGCGGAGCCGCCGTGGTACTGTTCTCGTTGCCTTTGATGCCTCTGACCCGGATCACTGATACACCAGATGGCTGGGCTGGGGTCGAATGCCGCTGCTCGCCACGCGGGATTCTGGAACTGTTGCGCGGCTGTGCCGATTCTACCAGAGCTGCTGTTCCACTTGAATCAATTCTGGAAGCAATGGTAGGAATCTGATTCTGTGCTGCGAGAGCTCGTTGAGTAAGCCCATCTAGCTTCTGAAGAGCCTTGTCATACTCCTCATCGTGTAGCTTAAACTTGACTATGTTAGAGTGCGTACGGTTGATGGCACAGATATGCTCTGGACCGTCCTCCCAAGACCGGCAGCGCATAGCCGAAGACTTTGTAAGAAGAACCATTTTTGGTCCGTCCACTATGTACCCAATTGCTATCACTGTCCTGTTCTGCGTCAGCATGTTTACTTCGGTAGAGAGCGGAAGCAAGATCTCTCTAGCTGTTGGCGACTCGGCCGTTTCATAAAAACACGTGATCAGCTACTTTCGGACAATCAAGGAGCTGCTTGCGGCGATGCGCGATGCGCGATGCAATCAAGGCACATCTTTATTCAGTGGGAAACAGCCAACAGTGTCGAGTCCAACGAAAACGCTGTCGATGCAGATGCTTCAGTAGGTTAGTGTCCTCCAGCATTGATTCCTCAGCTTCGAAAGCCGATCTCTCTTCTTTGAATAGCCTCCGGTTTGTTGTTGTGGATTGATGCTCCCTTTTACGGTAGGTGCGCTGCAGGTCGATAGACGCAAATTGGCGGCGCTGACCGATTAAGGACGACACACGGCTCAGGGCAATCGAGCTCTCAGAACACTGTTGGCTGTCGTGACCTGCGAGCTACGCGACAAGCTGATGGCAGCCTAAGGAAGCTGGGAAAGTGAGTGAGTTAGATCAACGCGGAGGGCAACTAGAGATGAGCACAGCCCTGGGTTTGTCTGGACAGGCGCCGGCAAGAACACAGCAAAGCGAAGTAGATGTTGCAGTGGGGCTGTGATACAGTACAGTTGTGAGCGAATGCAGCTTCCTATTCATGCACTCTGTCTGTTTGTGAAGCCTGGATCCGGATCTGTAGGTACATGGATCTACGTTGATGATCGAAAAGAAGCCGCGCTGGCGCTGCCACAGTGGCCTGCGAGCGCTATAGGTACTGTCAGGTCTTTATGAGTGGGTCGTAGCCCGTCAATACGGGTGCCATTTAGCACAGTGACTTTCACACGTCGAACACTTTCAGCGACCGGCGAAGCACAGCTTTATGTTCGGCAATTCGCCGTCCAAATAGAGAATTTTGCAAAACACACACTGTATGGAGCCCTTCTGAACCTTCGTGTTATTCTATTCGCTAGGAAGCTGTGAATGCTCAAGACGGTACGATACAGGACCGCTTTGTGGCGAGTTTGTCGTTTCCTTGACACTAGCCAACAGTTCAGTAGACTAGGTCCCGCCTGCTGCACCCATGTCTTATCGTAACCATGCCTTCCCTGATAGATATCATCCCTTGGAAACGCTGCTATCCTGTTAAAGCCTCGCCTTGGGACTCACGGCGGCCTTGACAACCGTCGTCGTGCGCGGTCGCTATCTGTCTGCCATGGGTGCATCTGTATATGATGGGCCAAGCGGGCGCATTCTACGCGACCCCTGCGGTTGGGAAGCTCTTATAAGGCTCAGAGGAGTCTGATCGACAGGGGCAGAATGCAGCCACTCCAGCTTCTGATGTTAAACAGCTCTGGTGACGTGTGGCTGCCACACGGCAAGTCGTCGATCAATTGTGGCCTGGCCCGAAGTGGGAGCCCAGGCAGGTGTCCATAGCGTTGCCAGGGCCATCACACCCTCTCAGCTCTAATCCTCCAGTGTGGCTGCCACTCCAAGGAAACCCCAACCAAGAGTCCACAGTATTGGCGGGGCCAAACACACCCACTTAATTTTAGTCTCTCATTGTGGTTGCCACACGACAAGGGCCCCCAGGCGAGTGCCCACAGAAGTGGCGGGGCCATCACACCATCTTGATTCTAGTCTCTTACTGTGGCTGCCACACTGCAGTCACATCCAGGCAAAGTGCCCACCGCGATGGCAGGGTCATCACACCCTCTCAACTCTAGTCCTCCACTGTGGCTGCCACACAACAAGGACACCCAGCCCGGTGTCCACAATATTGGCAGGGCCACCACACCCTCTCATCTCTCATTGTCTCTCAGAATCCACGGTGGCTGCAGCTGCCCTGGAATGGTGCCAGGGCTGTCCTAGCCGAGGGTCGCAGTGAGCTTGGTGAAGACGGACACCCTCTCCCCTCTCGGGCCTAGCCGTCGGTCATGATCTGCCGTGGCTGCCAGATAGCGAGGTTGCCGGTCATGGGGGTTTCCTCACGCCGCCCAAGAGCACCGCCGGAGCCATCACACTCTGTCGAATCTAGTCTCTTTCTCTCGCGTGCGTAAACTGCAAGAACGCGGCCAGCGATGGCTGATCCAACCTCATCTCGATATCCTAGCGAGATCCCCTGGGAACTTCGCAGCGAGAATGATGGAGTGCTGTATCCGTACCTGCTGCGGACCAGGCATCGACCCAGAAATGACTACCCTATTCTTATCACATCTTACCCATGTACCGTGGCACTGTCGAGCAGTCGATCTTGGCAAATCCATCGTGTTAATCGTGGTAGCAGCTGGTGTCTGAAGCCAGCAACCAGGCTCTGGGAACAAAGTTTGCTGGGAGCCAACGGACGAAACGCTCTCCAACTTGAGTGCCGCGGCCCAGGAGTCGCTTGTAGCTCAACTAGAGGCCGAGCAGTATAAGATAGTTTCGCACACGCGATAGAGATGGAGAGGAATTGTAGGGTCATAGCAATCAGCGCGAATCACTTTGCCTGCCGGACAGTATTCCGGAGCGAGAAAAGAAAATCAAAGACAGTTGATATTTTGAACCCTTCAGACATGACCTGCTTTCACTGCGCCCGAATACATCGCTCTTTACATGATCCGTTAGTCTGCCCCTCGACGGCTTCCCTGTCTTTAACAGCTCCTGGCCGCTTCTCTCCCGCGAGATCGGTCTCGGTGAAACCTTGCATCCGGGCGTGTTGCTCCCAATAATCGTCCCGAACCCTGCAGCCGCCCTCGACAACCTTACTGCCGAATTGGCGAAACATAGACCTTGCTGTGACGATCGCAACCTGCCTCGAGCAGTGAGAAAATGGTATAATCTCCTTTTCAAAAAGGTCGTCCTTCTCAGCTTGGCTGGCAAAGATTTTGTAGAGCGACCTGTTTTTGTTGAAGAGAAGGTAGGAGTCTCTGTATGACAATATCCTAGCGCACTCGGCCGCAAGCATGAAGAGTTTGTCTCCGCGGTTGGGGACCAGAAAGGTGCGGCACCGATAAGTACGACCTCCAAGGAGCACCCCATTTGACATGACCTTCTTCTCGCCAAGCTCATCGATTCCACGCGGAATATATTCGTCGCTGGTCTCGTTGAGCTGGTCGGTCGTATGGTCTCTAACTGTTGGCAGAGCCCTTACAGCCGACTTGGTAGGAGTGGTCTTGGGAGGAACTGCCGCCAGCGCCGGAGGGGGGATATAGGCTGGTGCAGATTGATGCGGCATACTCGTGTCCTGCGAACCGAGGCACATGGGAGTGAGTGATGGACAGCTGATTGAAGCACAACTGGCAGGAATCTCGGATGAGATGTGCCTGGGTGCAGCGGGTTTCAAGGGCTCGACTTCGTTTCCGCGATGGGACGCTTACGCACGTGACCATCGGTGTTATCGTGCTGACCGCCAACGACAAAGGAGGCTGGCTGTTAAAGCGACAGCCTCTAGACTAAAACTAAGTGGGTGTGTCTGGCCCCGCCACTTCTGTGGGCACCTGCCTGGGGACCCTTGGAGTGTGGCAGCCACACTGGAAGATGAGAGCTGAGAGGGTGTGAATGGCCCTGGCAACGCTATGGACACCTGCCTGGGGCTCCCACTTCGGGCCAGGCCACAATTGATCGACGACTTGCCGTGTGGCAGCCACACGTCACCCGAGCTGCTTAACATCAGAAGTTGGAGTGGCTGCATTCTGCCCCTGTCGATCAGTCTACTCTTGGTGAGGGCTTCCCAACCGCTGGGGTCGCGTAGATGCGCCGCTTGGCCCATCATACACAGATGCACCCGTGGCAGACAGATAGCGATGGTGCACGACAATGGTTGTCAAAGCCGCCGTGAGTAGGCGAGGCTTGACCAGGATAACAGCGTTTCCAAGGGATGACATCTATCAGGGAAGACATGGTTACGACAAGACACGGGTCCAGCAGGCGGGTCCTAGTCTACTGAACTGTTGGCTAGTGTCGAGGAAACGACAAACTCGCCACAATCTTGAGCATTCACAGCTTCCTAGCGAATAGGGACGGCGAATTGCCGAACACAAAGCTGTGCTTCGCCGGTCGCTGAAAGTGTTCGACGTGTGAAAGCCATTGTGCTAAATGGCACTGGCACTGTCCCCTACGCAGCTGCAGCTATGTACTGTGGATTATGGAGAAAGGGCAGTTCGCGTCCGTTTCGAACCAGCCCACCCATGACTGACGACCTTGCCATGTGGCAGCCATGATGGACCATGAGAGATGATAATAGTCGAGAGGGTGTGATGGCCCCGCTAGCATCTGGCTTGGCGTCCCGCTTCGCGAACTCCTTTTGACCTTGGGCTAGGATAGCCCTGGCACTGTCTCTGCGCGGCTGCAGCCACAATAAACAGCAAGAGACGGCTAGATCTGAATGGGCGTGCTGACTCCGCCAGGGCTTTGGGCACTTACTTGCCTGGGGGCTCTATGCAGTCAGAGTGGGTTACAGGCTGCTGTAGCTGAAACGGCTGCATTCTGCCTGTTAATTAGACTACCCTGAGCGGTGTCCATATTGCGTTTCCTCAAGCATCAGTGAATGATTGGAAGTGCCCAAGCTCCATGGAAGTGGGGTCCACAACAAGCACGCATGCACCGACTAGACGGCGGAGGATTCGGCATGTTCCGGTCACTAGCTAGACCTCAACTAAGCCAAGGAGATAGGCAGATCTAAGAGATTTCATCAGCGCTGGCTTGGCGCCTTCGTCGGCCGATTGCGTACAAAATGGCCGCTGGCTATAAAGAGTGCTGGGACACCCGATCGCCGACTCACTGATGATATGTACACTCGTCGTTTGCATCAGCCTTCTTCCGATTCCCAAGCGCCACAATGGATTTGAGTCAAGCCGATAGCTCTGATATGCCCGAGGACCCGGCGGATATCGAGACCTTCCCCGACGTATGGTTCTATCCGGAACAGCTACGAGATGGCCTTGAAGTACCCGATCTCTCCGAGGAAACTATCCAGGAGGCGCTTGCCTGCGCCTACGAATATCCCAGAAGTGTCATACCCGAGTGGAAGGACAATGCGAAATACATAGCATTCACAAAAACCATTATAATCGCCGTCGTCGCAGAGTTCCGCGGCGACTTAGTGCCGCAAGACGGCAGCAGTATCTTCCTCGGCTACGATCTAGAAGGGCTTCTAGACAGTCTATTTAGTAGCGACACCGAGCTACGCGCCGCCATATCTCGCGAGTTTCGAGCTTTCCTGCTCCTCTCCGTCGAGAAATCCAGCAAAAGACTCGACTCGGAATTATTCCGTCGCTATCTATGCGCGCTAACAGAGTCGCCCCAGACCTGGTTCCGGCTCCGCGACTGCGACGCCCTGGTTCGGTACACAATCGCCAGTGCACTATCGTGCAACGAGTCTGTCGACGTCATTTTCAGTGAGGAGCAGTGGCGGCTTATCGGAGAGCTGTGTTGTACGCTGTACGACGCCGTCGCTTTCCACAAGCATCGAGCGGAGGGCGAGACCAACAGCACCTTCGGGTATTTCGACGCCCACACGCGCGTCAAGAGCTTCCAGCTATACCGTATGGTTCTTTGGGCTATCGACGTCCCATGGGCCACCAATCCCGCCAAGCGCTGCGTCGTCAATTTCTTGCGTTTCTTCGGAGGCCCTCTCCATATGATGACGCGGAGGTACCGCTTCGTCGAGGATGGACTGCGGATCGGCAAGCCAGAGACGGAGCAAGTGGTAGAGCTAACCCGTGCCAACTTCAAACTCTGGAACAGGGTCGAGGAGACGGTCGCACAGCTGAAATATGACGGACAGTACGCAGACTTTGTTGCGCAGTCTGACAAGCTAATGTTCGATGGATTCTGCGACCTTCTGCAGCGCAGTGGCAGTCGGGAGTGTGCCAACTGCACGTTCATAGTAACAGGCACTACCAAGGATATTCGGCAATTCGGAGGCATCCAGCTGTGTAGGCCGTGCAAGGAGAAGTGGGGTCTCTCTATGGCAGAATTCCCAGAGAGGTTCAAGGCAGCTTTTCCGGAGACACAGAACGAGATTACAAAACTGATAAAGGGTCTATCAAGGCGGTATTGCTCTAAACTTTGTCGCAACTCGAGCGATTCGAATTGGGAAGGACCTGGACATGAGTTTGAGCATTTCGTCGCACTAAGGTGCGGATGTGCCACCCAGGCAGAACAGAGCGCTGATAGGCCCACTCTATAGGTCCGAGCGAGTATCTCTAGATACATGAAAGGCGCATAATTCATATGACCCGCCTGCTGCACCCGTGTCTTCTCGTAACCATGTCTTGACTGATAGATGCCATCCCCTTGGAGACGCTGATATCCTGTTCAAGAACGCCGTGGACTCACGGCGGCCCTGATAACCGTTGTCGTGTGCCATGGCTATCTGTCTGCCATGTCAGATATTCCGGTCCTGCTCTGGGCCTCGCGGCTCTCGCTCAGATGGGTGCATTTACGGTGGGCTGGGTTCCCTCTTTTGACATGATACAAGAACAACGGAGAGGAGCATCCAGTTTTCGTTCCAGTACGTAGTTTGAGTTCTGTCTCGACCGATAGCCCCGTGGCCCGGAGTCAATAGTTGAGCAACCTCGCATCTAGATAGTTCCCGTTCTCTCCGTCACGCACGCCGCGTGATCGATGATATACCATATCCCCACAACATGCGCGACCGCGACAGTAGGGAGCATCATTGCCGCATTTGATGATTGTGAGCCCGCGGGATGGCTGTTGTTGCGTAGCAGTACAACTGTCTAAGCACGTAGTCCATATCCACTTTGATTCAGGGGGAAGCCACCGAGCGGTCTCCTTTGTTACTGCTACGCTAACTAATGCAGCACAGTCGGGACACCATCATAGCCGCCCTCCTTGTCTGTTGACTCGGTGCCTAGAAAGGGATCTCCAATGCTGAACTGATACCAAAAGCCCTCAATCCATCCTCTTCTTCACATAGACCGGCCACGAGTGCGTCAGCGCGGTGAAGTTAGCCTGGTAGCTCCACACGCTGTCCGGATCCACCTGACGGATGTCGTAGCAGTGGATCAGAGAAGCTACTACTTTAGAGACCTGCATCAGCGCAAGGTGACGCCCCGGGCACGTCATAAACCCAGCGGAAAACTTGTCACCTTAGCTCTTGGCGCGGCTTCCGTAGATCGTGCGATAACTTACCACCAACCAGTTTTTCTCCAACTCCTTTGTATAGCCAGACATCCAGCGTTCCGGGTGCCATTGGTGAGCATCAGCTCCCCAGATGTCCGTCGATAAGTGCACTGCACTTGTGGGTGTCAGCCTTCAGTGGTGAACCGGTTCACCAACAGCGCGCAAACCTACTGCGAAGAAACACTGAGAGTGGTGCCCTCTGCGAAGTGTCGGCCTGCGATAGTGATGCCGCCCTTCGGGGCCTTACGAGGCAAGCCCATGGTCGTTGGGCTAAACAAGCGCAACGACTCCTTTACGCAAGCTTGTACATAAGGCAGGCTCTGGGCGTCGTGCGACGAAACATCGCGATGTTGGCAGCGCCCTTGGGCACGAGCGGCATCGATCTCGTCGCGGGCCGTCGACCAAGCCTTGGGATGTCTGATCATGTGATACAAAACGCTCTGAATAGCAGCTTCAAGGTGGAGTCAGCGCGGGGCTAAGAAAGAGGAACTGGGATAGGTACTGGAAACGGGCTCCGCCCCTGCGCCCACATTCACATTCGCCTGCGCCTCGATCTCGTACGCTCAGTGTCCCTGATACTTCGGAAGCGCGAAGCCAGTGCGAGAGCATGTCCTTGCCGGCATTGGGGTTGCTCATCCGCTTCCGCACAGCCGCTGACGTGGTCCTGTACAGTTTGCCCATCGGCAGCAGCAGCATCCAACTAGTTAACGGGTTGACAAGGATGCGCAGGGGCACGAGGAAGAAACCAGCGGCGGCTGCGAATTTGCTGAGCGCGACGTTGTTCCGCAACGTTCCGCCTATATCGCGGCCCTGCTGCCGTCAGCTCAAAGTCGTGGAGGGACTCTAGCCATGAGCATGGTCACTAGCAAGGACGACAACCTCCGGCTACTGTAGAATATGACGTACCGCTTTGATGAAACCAAACGGCTCCGAGAAAAAGACGGAGCCTATGTTGTCGAATGTCGTGTCCGTGATGTATGGTCGAAGTATACAGTCCCAGTCAGTGGCTCTTTTCCGAGGACTGTGAATACGCTGTTCATCTAATAAACTTCATGGCAGTCATCGATTGAACGGCTTTCCTTGTTTAAAAGAGCAAGCAACAACATGGGAAACGATTATATCGTCTTTTGGGGCCTCGATCGGAATCAACAAGTTAGCTTAGGGTAGAATGATCTGCAATAATCTCACATCTCCGTCCATATCCTGTTGGCTCTTCCGTCCTGAATAGCACGCGTCAGACCGGCGGGAAGTCTCCGTATGCCTCGGGGCCAAGTGGCACATATTTGCAGATCCGCTCAGTTAAACGAGCAACATGAAGCTCTCCAGCACATTCGAACATCTTGCATGCTGGGAGCACCCGGTTCGCATAGCCCTGGTCAATCTGGCCAAAGTTCAACGGCTGTGAGTTGACCCTAATGCCTATGAGCTTGGCGAGCTTCCTGAGATTTTCTCCGGCAGAATGGTGGGTGAACTGAAGACAAGAGAGTGACAAGTCACTGTTTTCTGCTGATTCGAGGAGTCCCCAGAGTAGAGACGCAAGGTGTATTTCCTCCTCCGCGTCCGCAAGCGGCCACATTACTCGCGCATTGTATAGGGCCAAGAAGTGTTGTACCCATGTCTCTTCATCCCTGTCCAAGAATTCAGAGATGTCCTCATTCGCTGATAACGTGTGCAAGCCAACAAAACAACAGTTCTGTATGAATGTTCGGCGGTCTACCTCGTCAGCTTGCTGGAAACCGTCAGCTCTTGGCGTAGTGTCCAGAACATAAAACATACCAGTATTCTATGGAGCAGCATCGCCCACACAAGCTTTACCAGCACATTTCTGTTCCTGGTGTAGCGCAGATAGTATCTGACAAGGCCATGGCCGTACTTTCCTGACCAGATCGCCGCAGTTGCGGACAACGTGAAGACCATTTCGGTTCTTTGTCTGGCTGTTGCGATACCGTACACATTGATTTCCCCTTCTCTCGGCGTTGTCTGGTTATTTGGAAAATTGGACTCGACTCTCAGCGGTATGGACAGTGTGGACATGAATTGAAGGCAAGGTTTGGTGACCGCGATTTCCGCGTATTGACGACCCCTAGCCTCTTGAACAATGTGTGCTGTTGGAAGAGCTTCAATCATTGGCCGTAGGACATCAAGTTCGAATTTCGTAACGAAGCGCTGTATCCACGTCTCATTGTCTGATGGCCTGCGAAGAAGGTGCTCGGGGATAGCCTCAGTTGTCTAAGATGTTAGTATCGAACTAACATTCTCAAGGGTCGGTAAAACTACCTGCTCAATCTCCCAGCAGCAAGTAATCTTCAATTTGAATGCTTCCGCAGCAGAGGAATCCATGACGGCCAGTGCGAGCGTTGCTGAGCAGGGACAAGGCGAACGTCGTAAGATAGGAGAAGGCTGGTCAACGAAGCAGGGGCAAATGCGGCAATGACATGCAGCTAAAGGAGAAAGTGCAGTTCTGACGCGCAGCAGCTGGCGTTTTTATATTCTTCTACCCCTGCTCTATTGCTGTCGCATGACCTGCAATGAACGTGCTTCATGATGAGAAACGTGCCTAGGTGGCAGTGGAGGGTGTTGATGTTCAACTGGCGGCACAGCCAACTTGGACAATGCCATCGCTCATCAGTATCCTTGCTGCAATGCAGAAGCAATTGCAGCAACTCGGGCTTACAAGGGGGCTGAATGTGATGCGATCGGTTGGAATGTGCTGGCCACTGAGAAGCTAAGACGGCACAACTCGTGGGCTAGCCATCCTAATCAGCGGATGCACCTCCGGCGAGCCGGGGAGTAGCGGCTCCGCGCGCTAGTGGGGCATGACTACGAGGAACGAAATGCTGCCGGTGCACGCTAAGCTTGATTAGTTCGCGTTGTTCGCGACGCGATCTCTTCCGGGAAAGCGTCAAATGCGATATTCAATCTGCATGTCCCTCGGTAGTGCGCACAACTTCCAGTGACAACAAACTCAATTGACAAACCTTGTGTATTCGATGGCATCTGGAAAAGTGGTGAATGACAAATGTAGGAAAGCCGCAGATGAGGCTCAGGTGGAGCAGTTCATGCGTACTCTGCTCTCGCCGAGTCGTGAGGAGACTTTGCCGGGATGCTGAGTCCAAGAGCGAAAACACACCATGGTGTTGCCGTCTGAATACTCAAAGCGTTTCGTCAATCGGCTAATCATGCACCACACAGGTCTGGCCCAGTGAAAGGGGCAGAGAACAAACTCTCTATCCTCATTCCCGCCACACAAGAGGTACACTTGATATTCTTGAGGGGCAGGGGCTTAAGCGAGGGACAGTGGGCTGTATGGACGATTCACTCTATCCTCATCCTCAACGGGAGTAATGTGGTTTGTACAGATACTTGCATGGATTATATTTGCGTGTCAATCTGTGTAGAGTTATTCAGTTCTAGGACCCGGCAAACTTGATTACTTTGTCCACGCCATCCATACCCTCGAAGCTGGGGATTTTTGGATTATCTGTTCAAGGTTAGGCACTGTGACGTTACAACATACTGATGTATCTGCTCTTACGATTCGTGTTGTCTCCCCCTGAACTGCTTCCATGTGTAGGATCGTCGTGTTCCTGAGGAGGATTCTCTTCCGTCTCGCTCGAGTCTCTTCCGTCCTCGCCCTGGATCGAGGGATTCTCGGACTGTTTGGTCGGCATGATCTTAGGCATATGATGGTTGTTAGGAAACAGGTCTGCCGTTCTTCGCCGGGAAGTAAAGGCTACTTATCCTGTTTTCCTCTCCTCTGCGATCCATGATATTTCTTTCTGCTTCACCTTTCCCTGTAGCCCGAAAGCCGGCCAACACAAGGAAGAAGTTGCCCCTTTCCTCTTCCGTTCCGCCACTTGGACTAGCAAGTCTATGCATGGCCACGCACGGTCTTTCCGGTAGACCTTTCGCCGCCCGCCCCGTTTTCACCTTTGACATGTTCACATACATCTCTTTCATTTGCCCCTATCTCGCTTACCCCAAGCCCTCCGTGTCCTAACAAATTCAGTGCGTATGCAGGAGCGTCGGCGTGACCAGCATGCAAACAATCCTGACCATACCCCGCAGCGTTGATGTGAGCTCATGGAAGCCACTCTTGCCTTATAATAGGGTATATCCGTAGCTGAGCAGAAAGCTGAGAGTCAAAACTCTTCATAAACCTTCTGTGCTTTCTGTCATCCTGGTGAGACGGGAGGCTCTTTCCCATAACCGGGGTCTCTGCACATCAACTATGCCGAAGAAAATATACTTCCTGGAGAAGGACTGGAGAGGTAAAACAGAAATCTGGGGTACCTGCAACATATACTGATAAATCTAGATCTCCGTAAAGAGTGCGAACGAATTAGTCTTCCGTTGCAGACTATGAAAGGGAATGGGGTGCCTTCTACTGAATACATATTCTTCAAAGAAGAAGGCCCTGAAGGACACGGGCAAGTTTGCCGCCGCAAGGTGCTGGACAACAACGAAGAAATCTTCGCGATCGTTGATTTTATGATGCCCTCAACAGTTGTCTCTGGGAGTGATTTGAAGAAAGCCCCAGTTAAAGAAGGTTTTTAGTTCTGGTCCGCCCCTCACAGCAAGTAGAGAAGAACCGGTAATTTGCATGGGAATTCCGATGTGCCATTCTGAAGGTAGCATCACTATGCTTGTCTGCTTGCTGGAAAGGACAGGTCATCCTGAAGGCACAAGCTGATCCCCGCATCGACCGTGCACCAAGACAACAGAGGAAATTGAACCGCCCTGATCTGCTACAAAGGGTAAGCTCACTAAGAACTCTCAGTGCGATCCCCCACGTGGAAGTGACCGATGTCATCTTGTTCGAAACCGGTCGGGATTGTCTTCCTTGTCGACAGGCATCGTTTGGATAGTGCTGAAGTCAGCAAGGTGACGACGAGCAACCTGGACTGCAGTTTTGAGTTTCTGAGACGTTGACAACTTGAAGGGGTCAACCACTGTCCAGCCATAGGAAGAAGGTATCGGTGTCTGACAATATGTGAAGCGTCACGGTAAAGAATTTTCGCCCAGGCAACTGTAGCTGTGCTTCCTGTGTACTGGTAATAGTTGGATACCAGTAAGATACTAAGTCTCTTTGACTTTGCTCACCCACGTTCGGATGGCGGCTGACGCTGCCTAGAAGATGAAGGGGTGCCGAGTCGCGCTTGACAGATGCTGTTGATGATAAAATAGGAGGGAAGGTGATAGTTTGACTCGAGGAAAAGGTAAAACATTTTAAACAGGCGACTTTGACATCCCCTGTCTTCACTAACGACCTGTCCGCCACAGGTCAGATCTCTAGCCCCCCTTGAGATACTTCGTGATCACCTCGGACTGTGCAGCCTCATTCGGCTAGTCCGTGCCCGAGATGGCCAGGAGCGCTGGTGTCCTTTAAATTTCAATGTTAGTCATCAATGCAAAGATTCATACGGCGGCCGTTTGCACGGCCGCGCCACGGAATACATGTTGGTTATGCACGGCTTGTGAGCTGAACTGCAAATAATCACCTGAACAATTGGCATGGCGCGATAAGCATTGGACTTCTTAGCTCTTAGCGACGTTTAGATTTGTGGCACAGGTAAAAGAAACCGTTGCAGAATAATCTTGCGTAGCCCCCATCCTCAGGCTGTATGTAACGTTGTACTGTCAAAGGTGCGCTAGGCACCGTGTTAGGAAAGTAAATTTATCACCGGGTGGAGGACGACGGATGGAACAGTACTGCGCCCGGCTCAAAAGTACAGATCGATAAATCTGGGTGTGACTGGTGAGAATGAACAGCCAAATGCATCGATAAGTACTTTCCACCTCTCACCACCCATTGTTACCGATTCAGGTGGTCTGAGTGGCGATCCGGCAGGGAACAAACCAATAGAAAACCTTGTCACATTAGTCACACGCTTTGGGTCTGTGATAGGCCCGAAACCTGCATCCTTGCCTTTAGCTGTCCATGCGCCTGAGGTGATACTGCAGCGACGACTTAAATCTGACATACTGTGCTTCTTCGTCTGATATTCGTCCTCCATTTCCCACGACTCCCACACGATCGCACGGTTCAAAGCTGTCGTATGCAGAATGTCAAGGCAGCGCCGACAGAGCAGTGCCAATTCCGGGCTTCTGCCGGTGCCTGATCCTAAAATGGACCTGGAACACGTGCTCAAATTGCTACCGGAGAAGCACGCTCAAGCTATTCGCTCTTTCCGTGCATCGATCCCTAAACTCCGGTCGCAAGACAAACGGCGTCATTGTGAGGCAATCCGGGACAACCTCACAAATTCTACTTCAGAGATAGAACTGGTCTCAGCCTGTTACGATGTCCTCTTCCGAGAACATCTCACGGCGGAAGCATGCTCTGATGCGGATTGGGTCGCGTTCAAACGTATTTCTAGCGCTGGCCACGAGCGCCTCGTGGCCACGACCACTGTGAGCAAGATTTGGGGCGACGACTTCGTACGCCACTATAAATTTCTTTCGAGACCACTCATATACTGCAATACGCTCCGTGTAGCTGCGAGAACCGTCCGGCAACGGGAGGCGGCGGTAGTTATATTGAACCGCTGCATCTACCACAGAGCTCGAGCAACGGATGGACGAATACCCGAGGTGAGAGACGACATTAATCCGATTGAGAACTGGGATTTGGTAAAACTCAAGAAAGGCACACCTCCAAATGTTGATATCGCGCCATTGGAAGGTTTTGGTTGGGACAAATTCGGGCTCCTTGTGCGCAAAGGTTGGGCTGTCGAACAGGTGGCGGACCATCAACATTCGTCATTCGCCTCAGTATCAGTGGGACCCTCAAGACCTGAAGCAACTGGCGGCCGCGAAACTCCACTCCACGTCTCACCGTCGTTGCCAGCGCCTTCAGACACATACTCCTATGAAGAACGTCAGACCTTGCAAAGGCATATAGCCGGCAACGCGCTAACCCTCCTGTCGTCGTTACCGTTCGCGAGCAGCGCGGAAAGAGACAAAGGCTCGGGTTTGCAAATTCCGAAGGTTATCGCTGGATATTACAGAAAACCCCTCCCAACAACGTCTCTGGCATCAACTAGGGCGAAGACCGGCTGTATCTCGCCTCAGCCCCGACTCTGCAACTCATCGGCAGCTGACAGGACAGGAGCTTCAGCGCCATCTTCCGAAGTTCCATCGTTACGAAATGTTTCCACTACCGAGGTCTCGCCATCAGCTCTATCTTCGTCCTTGCAGACGCAACATTCTCCAGTAGAGCCCGATTCCCACAGACCTCCATCTTCGTCAGTATGGATGGAAAACACATCTAAGTCACTTCCTCCATTGCCCTTGCAGCTGTCCTTGCAGACTGCTCCTTCACCAACCGCCCCTGTGGCTAGGCGGTTACCTTCCGGGAGCTCGGTAGGGAGGGCGAAAACACGGAAAAGATCAGGACGCGACCTTTCGAGACAGGCGAAGAGGCTGTGCTCCCACTACACCGGGCTCGATTCGATTACGCAGGACGATGATCTTGCAATCTATCTTGTCGAAACGTTCACACGGATGACTCAGCAGGGAATTCCATTTGAGATGCTTTCTCGAGCAGTTCAAAAAGCTCTGCAGCACTGTAAGCAGGCCACACAGCCTGATCCCGTCAATTTTGCAGCATCAGAGCCGGATAAGACCTGTCAGAAAACCCGCTCGGTTATTGCCGAACCAACTATCACTGTTCCGCATGCTGCTGCTTCGAGCGTTATTATCACCAACCAGCCAGCGGCCTCTCTCACCGCCCCTATCCATGCTGAACAGGTACTTTCCTCCCTTCCGCCCTCGCCGGGTAGATATGACCGCTTGAAGGATCCGTGCTGAATAACTTAATTTAGTCACGAAGTTCACCAGCCACCCCTGCTTGCAATCGCCAGCCGTCATGTCCACAAGCGGAGGGCCTAGGATCACAAACCCATTCACCAAACGTCCCTAGCTACTCGAGGGAAGTGGCTTTGGCATGTAAGTGCTGAGTAGAGTCCTTTAATCACACTGATTTGGTGAATGTCGCGTTATTAATTCATTAATGTAGACATGCGTGCCGATTCTTTCGGACCTCAGTTTCACTTTCCCACATGGAACACTGTTCCAGACACGGCACTCTCAGTCACCTATGCAATAGACGGGAACATTGCAGGGCTCAAAACGTTATTCGAAAACAGACTAGCGTCTCCCAAGGATGTCAGCAGCACAAGAGGCTTCAGTCTAATAAGAGTACGTATTGCCCGCGCAAAACTCGTTAGGAGCTAATCATAAGGGTAGTGGGCACTTTACGGAGGGCTACACCAGCATGAAACAATCAAGTTCTTATTAAGCCAAGGGGCTGTCATAGATGACGAGTAGGTATATCCTATCTCAATTCCTTCAAGAGCTTGCTGACCGATAATGTTACCCTAGGTCATACGATCACGTGTGGGACTTTTCCTTCCGCCGTAAATGCAGCTACGAGGACCTGCATCAGCTTTCGTGCATCAGGCTGAGCGGGGAAAGGGACTGGATCGATGACCAAGACTTCCCCCTTCCCCACAATATTATATTCGGCCTCTCTGGGACGAGACTCAAGGACGAGCTCGAGAGGAATCCAAAAGCTTCCAAGATGAAAGATGCCCAGGGACGCACCGCGCTGGATTGGGCCACCGCTCGAGGTCAACTGGATGATATGAGGATTCTGATCAGCCATGGTTCCGAAGTAAACTCAATGGATGCTGCTGGACGTACGACGGTTCTACATGCAGTGGACAGCCACAACATGGAGGCCCTCAAGATTCTCCTCGAAGCTGGTGCGAATCCTAACCCGCAGATGCCAGGTCGTCTGGCTCGAAGCAGCCCACTTACGTCGGCCAGCTTTGGCGGCCTGGCGGCCATGGTGAAGCTTCTTCTTGATTACGGTGCCGAGGTCAACACGTGTAATCCCGAAGGTCGCTCACCGCTCACCACTGCGATGCTCAAACATAATCACGTGGTGTTCAAAGCCCTCGCCGACTGGAACACCAACATGCCGACTGGCCACGTGCAGCCTCCGCTCCTTTCAGAAATAGCTAAGCACGCGGATGTTGACACGATGTCCATTGTCGCATCATCATCTCTATCTCAGTATCTCGACGTTGACGACCTGACCGCCAGTCGTGAGGCTTTGTGCCGGCGAGAAGACTACGACACATCGCTGTTGGACGCGTTCCAGTCCATGCTCCCCAATACGTAGGGTCGATGGAAGCCCCATAGTGGTAAATTTCATTCCATACCTGTGGCACGTTCCACTTCACGCACGGCTCACACAGCCCCTTTTCCTCACGATCAATTTAGCAGGCGATTGCAATGTGACCTTCGCAACTTGCTGATATAGTTAGTGGTCTTGGCGCTTTTGGGAAAACCTCTTCGCGGGATAGAGTTTTACCACACTGTTGAAATATTACACTGGCATTAATAGGGCGTTACCCGCGCCGTGAGCAAATGAACAAGGGAGGTAGCCAGCAGTAGAGCAGCCTCAAACGTGAAACTAAAACACGGTCTACTTGATACAAGGTGGCGCCAATTCCCGTAATTCTGATCGAGTCCTGTACAATGTTGCACTGCTGACGAATCATCATCTACTAGCTGCGGCGACGTTAATCTACGTACCAAATGAGTTAGAACAGCCTGAGCCAACGAATCGAGACTGGCATAGTGGCAGAATTGCGGAGGTGCCTGAAGCTCAACATTGAGCCAATGCTGTTACTTAGCAACCTGCCTGCGCGGTTGAGCTAGCGCAGCTGGACTAGTCCTTGAAGTGCTATACCTCGATGGTTGCAGCAAAAAGAAGCACGTGATGATTGAAGAAATGCCAGCGCGATTATGTAATGATTAGCACGTGACTTCTTGAATAGCGTGCGGGGAAACTAATCGCATCCCTTAAAAGCTCGACTCCGCTAACTCATAAGCTAAAAAGCTCAGCGTAATCAACTCTCACGTCAACATGTCTGATCAAGATAGGTCAACACCGCGCGTATTCATTGTACGGCATGGTAAGTCTATGCGTTAAATCTCCTCAAAGAATAAAAGTCAAGTCTTACGCACTTTTACCCATAGGAGAAACAACATGGGCGAAGAAAGGCCGTTTTACGGGCAAAACAGATATTGCCCTAACCGAGGAGGGGGAGGCACAGGTTTCTCACGCGGCAACTAAAGCTGTGGGCCCAGGCAAGCTCATCGACCCCCAGGGCCTTGGGACAATTTACGTTAGTCCGAGGTTGAGGGCGAAACAAACCCTGGATTTACTAGTGCCTGATGCCGCGGACCGGGGAATAATCAGAAATGAGATTGAGGAATGGGATTACGGCCATTATGAAGGGCTCACAATTGACAAAATCAAAGAATTAAGGAGGACGCGAGGGCTGGACAAAGATGAAGAGTGGAACATCTGGAGTGACGGATGCGAGGGTGGGGAGTATGTCTTACCTGGTAAGTTGATCGATGCATTCGCTCACAACTTGTTTTTAGGTCGAAAGAACAAGTAACGGACCGACTGGATAGGCTCATCTCTGAGGTCCGACAGATTCAGAAAGCTTCCATGGATGGGAGAGGAGCTGCTGATATCCTGATCGTAAGGCCGACTCTCCTTCCCTTTCCCACTCAATATGTGCACAGTGACTAACGCGTATGGACTCCAAGGTTGCGCACGGTTTAATCCTCCGTTGCTTTGCGAAGCGTTGGATTGGATTTGAGATCGACGCCTCCCTTGAATTGATGATGGACCCTGGAGCTATTGCCGTTTTGAGGTAACCCGAAAATCCTACTTGCCATGCGCGTCTGATTGCTCATGATCTTGAAGCTACAAAAACAAAGACATCGACAAGCCGGCTATTCACCTTGGTATGGCTCTGTGAAGAACCAGCCAACATGTATTCCGTACTCACCTGCGAATGAGCTTGGGCACGGTCATTGCGCGGTTTCATTTGCTTCGCGTAATGATCCCAGCTTCACCACAGTCCGTGTCTACCCAGCTCCCTAGCTATCAATACAATTGCCAACGCATAGATCACGCCTACTGCACTCGACTGTGAGCCGAATAACTGTTCGATTACTGACACCCTGGTGCTCTTCAACATAGTTAAACGACTAGTTAAACGACTTCTGCACAACCTACCCGGTAGCTAGTTCAGTCCCGAACGTCACAACTCGCCGCCCGTAAGAATAACAGGCGATAACCAAGGTAAATACGGGTGTTGTGAAGAAAGCTGGCGCGAGGAATAGGGAACGTCACAAATGCGGACAAACAGAGTAGAAGTGTGAAATTTCCTCATCACCAAACCAGCGTGTGAGGCAAAAATCCATGGCGCTCTAGGCTATAGTA